CATTTGTGTGGCGGCAGGTTGGTCCTCTCCGCACACCTTTGTGAGGTTCTATAATTTATCTCTTGAGATGACTCCAGGTTCCCAGGTTCTATCTGCTTGAACCGATCATGGTTATTATTATTTGGTCTGGTACCAGTTATGGCAGCGCTTAGCTTGGCGAGTTCGGGATTTCGTTCCCACTGCGCTTTCCGCAGCGTTGAGTGAACCTATGAAAGAGACCGTCTCTGGTTACTTGCGTAACCTATGTTCTCTGAATAGGGAACGAGATGCTGCGTTCGCTGCCAAGCTCCTCGCGCTGCCGACAGTTTTTCTTTTCGGCAGAGAAATCTGAGGAGAGGATGGCGCGCGCGCATTCATCATGCTACGACGTAAGAGCGTCGGGGCGGAGCCAGCTTTGCGCGAGCGCCATCAGCCAATGAATTGGCGTGATTCTATGGGGCTTCAGGCAATCGGCACATCCAGAGGATATCCCACTGCGCTTTCCGCAGCGTCTCGTTCCCTATTCAGAGAACATAGGTTACGCAAGTAACCAGAGATGATTTACACAGACGATAACACTGTCGTTTTCAAAAACTTGCACTTTGAAACACGTTTTCAAAAGTTTGTATTTTCAGGCCCTCGAAATGCCATTGTTGTGTAAATGAACGGCAAAAACGCATTAAAAGTTTCCCGTTTTTAGTTGAAACCCTTAATTTTAATATACAGCACAAAATTTATGGTGTTATAAAATGCCAACAAAACGAGGTTTGGAACAACGTGAGGGCGTGTAAATGGTGCAAGAATTGTGACAAAGAGACATCTCTTGCATTGCGTGTTTGTGCATTTTAGGGGGCGGAGCAATGAAGAGAGGGGGTGTGTTTGTTTGGGCTGATTTCACTTAAAATCAGCATCTGAATATAAGCAAATGCCGAGGGAAAAACATTTTCAGACATCTCGGTAATAACTAATGCAGAAGTTGACAGGAGAGCAGCTCAAGGCGTAGGTGTTTCATAACTACATTCTTACAAGATTGCCAGTTCTCCTCTCCTCTCTCACATCTGTGCTCATATACAATGAGAACTGTCAGTACTGTGAGCTATATATGCAACAGCACTCTTCTTCTGTCTGTCTCTCTCTCTCATTCTCACGCTCTCTCTCGGGCGAGTGTCAAGGACCATGAGAAAGTGCTGTGATCGGATCCCTCCATCAACATGACAGAAACATTTCTAACAAATTCCATATTTATTTTTAATACTACTGTTTCACTGCAGCAAATAGGCCTATATATTTAAGAATAGGTTACAATAGTGTTAGGTAGAGGAAATGGTTTTATCTTCCATTCGGCTTTAAAATTGTGCTCTTTGATGTTTCCTAGTGCTGTGGTCTTTTTTCAGATTTCGTGCAGATGGTTATCAGATTTGCCCTAATCCTGTTATGCCCTCTAGTGGATGAAACCAGAATACACTATAAGATAATATAAGTGTAATATATATTCTGAGGGTTGTGGAGTCAGTCGGTGGCCTTGTGTGAGGAACAGAGACAAACTTATGTCATTTTTCACTGAAAATCTTCTCCTGTTAACAGTTTGCAACAGGATCACCTGAGAAATGGATCATTCGGAAATCATTTAAGAAGAGCCGGCTGAAAATAAAGATTAATTCAAGATTTTGACTTTTCTCATACATTTGAGGACTTACTAAAGCTACAGAGACAGCTGCAATCGGTCAGAAATTTAGTGAATAATGATTTTTAATTTGGCTTGTTCCCCACACAAAGCTATCGAATGGCTTCAGAAGACTTGTAATGTAGTGAATGAGTCTTATGAACCAATTTTATGATATCCACAGTGAATTTTACGATATTTGATTTTGATCGTAAAAACAGCAGCCACCCATCGGGAAGTTCATGTTGACAGATAAAAACTAATTTCTGGAACAACATGAGGAGGAAAATACCTTTGAAAAGACTCATTTTGAGGTTAATGGCTAAAAATACAGTAGCACAGATTTTGATTTAAAAAAAAATAATACTTTTGTTCTGCAAGGAAGCATTCAATTGATCAAATGTGATAGTAAAGACATTTACATTGTCACAAAAAAATTCTATTTCAAATAAACGCTGTTCTTTTGAAAGTTCTATTCATCAAAGAATCCTCCATTTTTTTAAAATGGTTTCCACAACAAAAATGGAATTACACAGGAATTAATTGCATTCTAAATACTCAAATAGAAAATTATTTTAAATTGCAAATATATTTCACAATATTACCATTTTTTACAGTATTTTTAATACCCAATCTGTATTTTTAGTCACAAAAGTAACACTCAAACAAAAACCTACTGTTCATTTATCATCATCATGCATCCAGGGTTCCTTTTTACACCAGCCTTTTTGTTTGTCATTTAACTGCTTGCAATCCTTTCTCTCTTCTACATGATCAACTAGCGCATATCGGCAGGCTGCATCTCATCACAACCTCTTGTCCGGGGTTCTTTAATGAATCTGCATAATGGAGAAGACCCCAATTAAATCCTTGCGTGAGGAGGACTCGGCATCCCGGGTAAACAAACTTACCCTGACAGGGTTGCAGCGCTGGATAAGATAGAGGGCCGAGAAAATGAATTAGCTTCCTGACACACGTCAAAGCCAATCCCAAGGAAGAAGCGGGCCACCTCTCGGCACCTCTATTTTATCTGGCCCTTAGTATTCCGCCTGAGACGCCCGCTCGCATCCAAAATGTATTCATTTATTCAGAAGCCCTTGGAGAAATCAGAAAAAGCTGGTTGTTCTTTTTTCTTTATGTCCAGATGGAGTTTGCGTGAATAACGTGAGTTAAGTGAGGCGGAAAATAAGTACAAGATTGCCCGCCGGTGAGAGACTATCACCTCACGAAAAAATGAGTGTCACCTTCATGCAGACAACAGGTTTTCTTTGATTTCGAATATTTCCCTCCTTTTATCTTCGTCTTCTGTCAGTACGTGACATGGAGGAGAAAATAAATTTGGACAACAAATGAAAAAATATGAGCTTTGCCTGAACTCAATAAGAATTATCATGCAATGCAGGTGTGCGAGGAAGCAGAGGATTAATCAAAGGGCGAGAATGAGAGATCTATTTTCTTTGAAAGCATCTTCTCTTGGGTTGGAGGGATACGGTGTGTTTCACCTTGCGGTTCCTCTGCCTGACGCTTGTTCCATTGCTAATTAGTTTAATTAGCTAGATAAATTGCTAATACAAAATAAGCTGACTGAATGAGAAAACTGAGTGTATATTATTACCACGACAACGATATGCTTAAAACGGAGACGTTTTTCCCCCATTCACACGGATCCGCTAAAACGACTAAAAACGCTGTATTGTGCTGCCAGGCCAGTAGATGGCGATGAAACACTATAAATTGAGCACGTAATCCGCATGTGCATGACATCATCGTTTTTTTTTTATATTAGAGTTTTGGTTGTTTACACGGAGACCGTTTTCAAAAACTTGCACTTTGAAATCCGTTTTCAAAAGTTTTTCAGGCACCCAAAACACCGTTGTTGTGTAAACGAACGGCCAAAAATGCATAAAAAGTCTTCTGTTTTTAGTTGAAAACATAAAAAGAGACTGCTTTTATGTATGCAAATGATGAAAGTCAGGGAGGTTAAAAACAAAACTAGGTACGTTTAACTTTCATTGTATGGACAAAAAACAGAAATGACATGAGGACGAGTAAATGATGACAATCTTTTAGAACTATTGGTCTCTTTATATAAGGCGTCTTTACCTACTATGTACTTACTGTACATCTAAAAATACTATGCACTTACTGTATTCATGATGCATTGCGAAACACTGACTGCTGAAGTGGGATACAGGTAGGTTAGGACAGGTTTGGTGGTATGATTTGGTTAAGGGTCGGTTAAGGTGCAAGGGAAGGGTCAAAAGGTGCAATTACAATTTTACATGCATACCTTTTTAATACAAGTACAATGTAAAAACATGAATGTACACAATTCGTGCTTTGTATCAAATTATTAATTTAATTGTTAGTACTTAAACACTTAAAGGGGTGGTTGATTATGATTTCACTTTTCTAACTTTAGTTAGTGTGTAATGTTGCTGTTTGAGCATAAACAACATCTGCAAAGTTGCAACACTCAAAGTTCAAAGCAAAGGAAGATATTTGCTTTTAAATAAATCGTTTTTTAAGGACTACAACAAGCAGCTGGTAGGGACTACACTACATTCCTCCTGGGTTAGTGACATCACCAACCCTAAAATTTACATAAACCCCGCCCCCACAGTCCATGTTGAGAAGAGGAAGAGTTGTTGTAGTAAAGCACATGATATGCGAGTCTGCTCAAGCTGTCGCATCAGTCTTTTCACATGCAACACAGTACGTAACACAAATACAATAGGGTGTCACTCTGTAGGCATTTTACAACAGTTCCCACACAACGATTTATAGATTGCCATGATAGAATATGCTAATCAATGCCTTGAAGATAGTTAACTCCACATCAGCAACATAAATTAATCAACAAACCATTCAGAAACGTCCTGTTGCATTCTACATGTTGTCACTTCTTTTTTAGTCTCTCCATCATTGTCCGACTCCAGTTTAAACATAAAAGGTAGAACAGGTTCTGACATTTTAGTGCTTGTCTGCATGAGGTAATCTGAGCTGCTAACACACAAGAGCTGTTGAAGCTCCGCCCTCTGTGCCGGGAGCAGCAGCTCATTTGCATTTAAAGGGACACACACGAAACGACGCGTTTTTACTAGCCTTCAAAAAGGGACAACTTTAACATGCTGTAAAAAGATATCTGTGGGGTATTTTAAGCTAAAACTTCACATACGCACTCTGGGGACAACAGAGACTTATTTTACATATTGTAAAAAGGGGCATTATACCACCCCTTTAAAGTAAAGTGTGATCTATCCCTTGATATATTCAAATCAAATGCCAATATCACAGCATTGCTATAATTAAGTAAAATAATGGAGTATTAATGCTTTATGGAGAAAAGCCAGCCTACCTCTCTAAGGACTGTGCTGCCATAACCTCTGTACAACCCTCTGAAACCCTGCAATGAGAAATCAAAAAGAGTTGTCATCTTTGTGCAAACAAAAAGCCATGGCATTTTCATGACTGACTGCCTTACAAAACGACTTATTTATCAATGAATCAACCCGTCCATCTGTGTTTAACAGGACAGCTCGAGTGAACTCAAGAGCATTGTTCACTGCAAGTCAAGCTGACGATATACGCACACCTCTTCTTGTAGTGTATTCAGCAGCACCCGGTAGGTATTGAGGGAGGGATTGGCCTGTGTTCTCTGCTTCACCACTTCAGTCGGCACACGAAACAGACAGGCGACCTGTGTAAGAGGAAGAGAAGAACACTCATCAACACGTCAAATAGTACTGGTCACACAAACGGATAGAAATACTCAAGTACACTGCACAATATAGCTGTTTATATTTATATTTAAAACAACTGGGGGGAAAAAATCTTAAAAATGGAATAAGATTTTTACAATTATTATAAATTATAATTTATAAAATAAATATATTTATCAAATTACGGAAGAAAAAATAAAAATAAAAAATATATATACACACACACATATACATACATATAAATACATATACATATAAATATGAGGGAAGAACAAAACCCTAAATTTGGCAAAAAACATTTGGCAAACTACAGCTACAGGTTTTATTTCTATGTAAATAAAATGCATTAAAAAAGCATACATTGACAACATAATCAGTAATTAATATTTCATTGGTTCTCTCTTGTTTTTGCATGAGAGAGAGAGAGAGAGAGAGAGAAAATTTGAATTTGTTTTCTTTTACATAGACTTTTTTCTAATATTTACAAAAATACTGATTAAGAATATGATTTCAGAAAATGTAACCACTAATTTGTCAGACAAATGAGCCTACAGCAATGTTTGTATTAATTAGAATACAACACAACATGTAACAGTTACACACAAATTTGACATTAAAACATTCATAAGTTAAATGTTCATGTAACTTAAAAACCCCTTACAAATGACTAACAAATTGCCTATGAATCATACAAGTCACAAAACACTGTTTCTCTCTCTCTTTCTCCCTCACACACACACACACACAGCAGCTGAAATCCAGCAAACATGCATTGTCGATAGCTGAAGTGTGGCATTATTCAAGCTCATTCTTCAAGCCCGCATCTCCCTCTAAACTACACTTGTGGTGCATTACTTCTGATCCTCTCCATGCTGAGGGCGGAAATACCAGGGCGAACCGAGGATGGAAAGCAATCTTCGCAACCACGGGGAGTTTTACCGGGCCCCCCACCAGACCCCCAGACTCACACTGGATAGAAGTAATCTCTTCTGAATGACACTGACAGAGCGGGCGTGGGGTGCTACTATGAGAGAGGTTAGGTTCACTGTGAGCCCAGCTGACACCCTACAGGCACGGTGTGTGTGAACAAGCTACGGGAGTTTGCGCTCTAGATGAGTCTGGCAGGCGGCAGAGCATCTTCTTGCACACTGAAGTTGCCGAATGAATGGCCACTTGGCTTACAGAACAGCATGCAAGACTTTGCGGAATGGCATGACACAAACATACAAGATCCAGCTGAGGAAATCTGTATTTGTTATTTCCATTGAAAAAAGTAGGATCAGTGGGGAGGGCTCGAATTTTAAACAAGCCAAAAGCGTGTACCAAGAGTGCCATCCAGCGGTGAAACCCGGGACCTGCGACCATCGGTCTCTTACTGAAACTGACAGGGCCCATTTTACCGAGCTCATTACATTCTCTTTTTGCTGGGTTAACATTTATGAAACACTAAACATCACGTCCCCTCGTGTAATTCTCAAAAGGATCAAAATTACAGCACTAAATAGAGAGGGAAGTGGATATGACAAGTAATTCTTGCAGTAATTGAATTGGTGGGAGCGAGTGCGCGCCGCAGCAATTTCGTATCATCTCGCAGGGGAGTTGATGGAGGACTGGCGAGAGATTATATCAGATCAATTACCGACATTGTGCATTTCTGGGTAATTTACAGGGAGCAGTGAGGAGGAAAACTAGGTTGAGGACATTTTTTAAATAAGTGGATGTCGAAGTCTTTAGAGTTTCGCCGTGTTTATGGACGCACCTGTGTGTGACCAGTCAGGCGATTAGAGGCACTGACTTAAAGGCAGTTTTGTAGGCTACTTAACGTTTGGTTATATGTTTGATTTGAAAGAGTTATGGTTATACTTATTATTGTGAGATACATTTTGGTTTGCATTCACATCACCATTTATCTTAATTTGCGAGTCATTTGGAGGAGGTGGCGTTAATTAGTCGCTGCCTCTGATCCAAGCGCGCGCTTGGCGCTTCCCGTTCCCGGCGCTCTCGGAACACTGCTGCTGCTGAGGCGGGAAAACAAACCCCTCTGAGGGGGAAACTCTCAGTTCCAGGGCAACACGACGACCAGAGGCCAGGACAGGTCGGTGAAGAAGCAGGGGATATTAAAGCTTGGCACAAAACTTGTTTTAGCACTGGGTGAATCAGTTCAGGGCCGCTTGTCTTGTCCTCGCGCAGTCGCGCTGTTCTTTACAACACACTAAAGGGACGAATGAATACTGCATGTCACACTGACCATTTGACTCGACACTTATAATAAAACTGAAACTTTTTTAAAGTTTCATAGAAATCACTATTAAAAAAGCATTATATGCATAACACCTAATAATCAGTTGTTTGCATAAATGTAACAGTTATGATTCTAACACTGCATTAGGCCTACTATGCATTGTAAAAAGTCATATTTTAATTAACCATTTTAACTATATTTAAAATTATATTACCGTATAATACATTACACTACTTATCTATTCAGGGTTATGCCATTAAAGGCTGTAATGAATTAGCACACAAGATCAACACACTAATGTGTTATATCATGTGTTAAATTGCATTATACTCTTTCAAGGTGTAACAGAATAGATAATAGTAATAGTAATTTATTATGGTTAACTGGTTAAAATGAAAATATATAACACTTTAGAATGCATATTATAAGGCATTAGTAATTCATTTTAATAATTGTATAATGATTTAAATTACACATAGCCTACAGCTTAATGTAAAGTGTTACCAGAAGTGTTATGCACTGTCACTTAAAAGTTTGGGGTCAGTAAGATTTTTATTTTATTTATTTATTAATTTATTAATTAATTTATTAAGGATGCATTGCATTGATCAAAAGTGACCGTAATTTATAATGTTTCAAAAGATTTCTATTTCAAATAAATGCTGTTCTTTTGAACTTTGTATCCTGAAAAAAACAATGTATCACGGTTTCCACAAAAATATTAAGCAGCACAACTATTTTCAACATTGATAATACTAAGAAATGTTTCTTGAGCAGCAAGTCAGCATATTAGAATGATTTCTGAAGAATTGTGTGACACTGAAAACTGGAGTAATGATGCAGGAAAATCAGCTTTGCCATCTCAGGAATAAATTACATTTTAAGTTATATTAAATCATAAAAATAATATTTCATAACTGTTTCTACTGTATTTTTGATCAAATAAATTCATAAGAGACTTCAAAAACATTTTAAAAAATCGTACTGATCCGAAACTTGGTAGTATATGTAAATTTATACAGTAATTCAAAACATTTTTGCCATTTTACCCACAAACCTGAGGCCATTTTTTAAATCCCAACAAAACAAATTACCATTAGCATAAAATAAACCAAGGTCAATCTCACATCTGTGGCTCCAGACATCAATAGACACAGCTGGAACATTCCAAACAGTCCATGAACTCGGAGCACACGCCTCCCAGCAGTGTTTCAGGAAGTTGGAATTACAACAGGCATCTGGAACAATCTTCCACAGATCATCCTACAGGTGCCTTAAAAAAACAACAACAGAGTCCCCTCGGGTCCTTATGGAGCGATGCCTCCCAAAATCTATCTGCACAGACCAATCTCTGCCTGACACGTCCCCATTCTCTTCCTTAAATAATACCAATGCATGTCCAGAGATAGCATTGTTAACCCAACACTTCAATTTTGGATTGCCTATTTTTTTCTTTTAGATATTTCAAGACCTGCCAGGTGAGAAGAAGAGGGGGGTGGAGAAAGGTTGAAAATGAGCCACAGTACAATGCTCAGGCTTGATTTGTACAATAAATCACAGGCAACCGTATTCTCACCGGCAATGGATTATTTGCAGTGCCAAGCTTAGCAGGGTGCCAATCGCCCTCCTCTAGTCATGCTACACGCTGTTTTCACCCAACAGCCATAGGGAGAGACACGGTTTATAAATGTAGGAAAAGTGCTCCTTCAGCTTGACAAATGAGCTTTCGGAGAGAGTGTTGGGCAAATGGGAATGAAGATAAATCTGATATAATGGCTAGATAACAGCCTACTCTGGCCCTGACAGACACCATCAGCTATTGCATTCTTTATAGCACAGACGGAGAAAGAAGAGACAGAAATGACTGCTGCTATTATTACACAACAATAATATAGAAACCTTTCATAATGATTGTGTGAAGAGAGAAGCTGGACTTAAGAGAGAGTGGTAAAGGTGAATAAAGTGAGGATAAAATTTCCAGACAATTTAAATCTTCCTGGTTGCAGATCCGATGCTACAAAGGCAAAGTCTGAATCCCTGGGCTTAAACTCCAGGATCCACATTGCGTTTGATTAGTGTGCTCGCGCTAACCTTATAGGGTCAACCGGATAACTATGACAGTACAGCAGTGGCGAAGAATCTTTTATTCCATCTTGAAAAGTAATAGGGAAAAGTACAAAGTAATAGGAAATACTCCAAGCAATTATTGCACAAAATGGTTCGATGCAAAACTGGGCCAGAAAACTCAAAATCTAGCAAATTATAAACTAATGAGTCATTAATCATATCCAGTCGGGACACCTATTAGCGAGAACTTGTATAATGGCAGAAGTTACGTAAGTAAGATGACTTTGTCTTCTGCTCCAGACGGCCTGAAGGGAAGACTTTCATGGCTAAGCTGCGGGATTACGGGCTTTGAACGGGGCAACGTGTACCCACAACACACTGGGATTCGGCTGGGGCTCTGCTGTTAAAAATCCCTGTTTTGAAGTGTGCAAATCCTGCCGCACCAGGCAAAGGGTTATCAACAGACCTGACTTCAACTTCACCTTATATTCAACTATCTTGGGTATTGGTGAAGGCTGACCTTTTCACTTGACTTATTTGTTGAGCTATGTTTAACGTTAGTGTTTAGCACGTAATGATATTTGCTCTAATTTTCCATGCAAAAAGCCACCTTCTCAGTATAGAGAGTAGATGGAAAAACAGCAAGTTCATTTAATGGGTAATAAACTGAAATGATCAACCCAATTACATTAGTTGAAATTGCGTATTGAGATGAATAGGATGGTTTTAGTATTAGTAGGTCCATGTAGAATTTCTTCTGCTCTAATGATGTTGAGGGAAATCTGTTACTAAATTCTACTGAATAGTTTTAAATATGGTCAAATATACACTCACCGGCCACTTTATTAGGTACCCCATGCTAGTAACGGGTTGGACCCCCTTTTGCCTTCAGAACTGCCTCAATTCTTCGTGGCATAGATTCAACAAGGTGCTGGAAGCATTCCTCAGGGAGTTTGGTCCATATTGACATGATGGCATCACACAGTTGCCGCAGATTTGTCGGCTGCACATCCATGATGCGAATCTCCCGTTCCACCACATCCCAAAGATGCTCTATTGGGTTGAGATCTGGTGACTGTGGAGGCCATTTTAGTACAGTGAACTCATTGTCATGTTCAAGAAACCAATTTGAAATGATTAGAGCTTTGTGACATGGTGGAAGTAGCCATCAGAGGATGGGTACATGGTGGCCATAAAGGGATGGACATGGTCAGAAACAATGCTCAGGTAGGCCGTGGCATTTAAACGATGCCCAATTGGCACTAAGGGGCCTAAAGTGTGCCAGGAAAACATCCCCCACACCATTACACCACCACCACCAGCCTGCACAGTGGTAACAAGGCATGGTGGTTCCATGTTCTCATTCTGTTTACGCCAAATTCTGACTCTAACATCTGAATGTCTCAACAGAAATCGAGACTCATCAGACCAGGCAACATTTTTCCAGTCTTCAACTGTTCAATTTTGGTGAGCTCTTGCAAATTGTAGCCTCTTTTTCCAATTTGTAGTGGAGATGAGTGGTACCCGGTGGAGTCTTCTGCTGTTGTAGCCCATCCGCCTCAAGGTTGTGCGTGTTGTGGCTTCACAAATGCTTTGCTGCATACCTCGGTTGTAACGAGTGGTTATTTCAGTCACTGTTGCCCTTCTATCAGCTCGAACCAGTCTGGCCATTCTCCTCTGACCTCTGGCATCAACAAGGCATTTCCGCCCACAGAACTGCCGCTCACTGGATGTTTTTTCTTTTTCGGACCATTCTCTGTAAACCCTAGAGATGGTTGTGCGTGAAAATCCCAGTAGATTAGCAGTTTCTGAAATACTCAGACCAGCCCTTCTGGCACCAACAATCATGCCACGTTCAAAGTCACTCAAATCACCTTTCTTCCCCATACTGATGCTCGGTTTGAACTGCAGGAGATTGTCTTGACCATGTCTACATGCCTAAATGCACTGAGTTGCCGCCATGTGATTGGCTGCTTAGAAATTAAGTGTTAACGAGCAGTTGGACAGGTGTACCTAATAAAGTGGCCGGTGAGTGTATATTAAACAGAGCTGAGAGGACTGAAGTCTTGTGATTTCAACATGTTATGCTGATTCCAAAGTACAATTAATCATGTCATATGACAAAAAAAAACTTGCTCTACAAAAAAAATTGTGAATAAAAATCTGTTGTGCTCACCAAAACTACATTTATTTCTTCAAAAATACTGTAAAAACGGTAATATTGTAGAATATAACAATTTAAAATAACTGTTTTCTGTTTGAATATATTTTAAAATGTTATTTATTCCTGTGATGACAAAGCAGAATTTTCAGCATCATTACTCCAGTCTTCAGTCACATGATCTTTGGGAAATCATTTGAGAACAGTTGTGCTCCAACATTTTCCAGGATACTTTGATGAATAGAAAGTTAAAAAGAACACTATTTTTTTTAAATAAAAATATTTGTAACATTGTAAATATCTTTACCGTTACATGTGATTGTTTAAATACATTCTTGCTCAATTAAAGTGTTCATTTATTTAGAAAAAAAAAAAAAAAAAAAAAGTACCGACCCCAGTTTAACGAAAGTGGCATTTCATGCCAAAAAACTCAAACGCCCCTCATTTTAGTCTTTTCTGTTCATTTCTGTTCTTTTAAGTGATAAAGGTAATCCATACAGCACATAATATGGCCATAAGACATAACCAATAAATGTCTATTGCAATTTTTTAATCAATTAAATGCATCACTGAATACATAAAAGAAACATAAAATGTCAAAATGATTCCAAACTTTTGAATGGTAGTGTATGTATTAAGATTGCATTAAATTGTTTAAGGTGGAGTATGCTCTAAGGAATGATTAAATGCTTGTGTGTTGGATCGTTCTGGACTGCATAGCTCTGAGCTTACAGAATTTCACTAGCAGAGGAAATGAAGGTGCTCCTTACAGCTCCAACACCTAAATCTCCCTTGACAAAACTGCAAGACTCCTCTCTATGAAAAGGAGTTATGTCAATAGACAACAACAAGATCCATTTGGCCAGCTGGTGGGAAAATAAAGGGTCGTCTTTGACCCGGCTCTAACCCAGAGCAAAAAACATCCAACAAAAAACACATTCTAAGCCTTCTGCATATTTGTCTCTGAAATAGACACACTGCTCATTCAGACTGAAATGGGTAAATGATGATAAACACAAGGATGAAAACAACAGGAAAGAAAGAAGAATAACAGGAAACCTACGATTTCTCCTAGTGAAGCAGCCAGCATGTGAGTGAAGGGGGTCAAGCTTGTAGCAGTGTAGCCAGCGAAGAACGACTTGGTGCTTTCATAGGTGACAAAGAACGCAGCAGCTGGAAACAAGAAGAAACACTTTGTTTGAGGAAAACTTTTTAAAGTTGGCTTGAAACAGGTTGAGATAGTCTTTTCTTCCCTATTGTGATGTACACTGATGAGCCAAGACATTATGACCACCTGCCTAATACGCTGTTGATCCTCTGCATGCATGCGTGCATATATATATATGATTTTATATATATATATATATATATATATATATATATATATATATATATATATATATATATATATATATATGTGCGCGCACACACACACACACACGTATGTATACGAATCAAGATACAACATATATAACAATATAATATACAAATGACATCAATCTATAAGTAATAATTGTAGACTAGTATAATACTCAGCAGACATTATTTATATAATTATAGAAGTAATTTGTATTGATGTACCATAATACTTAGAGGCATCAACTCACCAGCTACTTTTTATCAATATTTATGGAGAGAAGTAGACTTAAAATTGTATCAAATTTGTAAAACTGATTTTTAATTGTTGATCTGTTTCTCTTTAATGCTATGGTCTCTTAAGAGATGTAGCCATTGTGCAATTGATATTTGGTATTTATTTTTCCACTTGAGTAATATTTATTTTTCCTGGAGATATCTAGAGACATGAGCAGAGGTGTTAAGTGTTCAAGAGGAGGGTTCATTTGACATTTGACGTAAAGCTGCAGTCCGTAACTTTTTTGGGTTAAAAATTATCCAAAATAAATTGAGCAAGTACATAACAAGCCAGTGTTCAAAACTATCTGCTTGCCTTAGCTCGATTCAAAGCGGTAAGCTTGTAATAATGTTTTTAATTCCAGTGGTACTGGTGGATTTCCGCGGGAGATTCGAGCATGTCTTTGCGTCATTACGTCACATCTGTACACATAAAGAAGGAGTCTCGGCTAGTATAAGCTAGATATTGCGTGTGAAGATGTTGGAGGTGGAGATTTATTATAGCCTTTTCTCACAGCACTTGATATAAGTAAACTTATCAATTTGATGGCGGCTCCAGAAAGGTTCAAACGACTATCACCAGTGACAACTGGAGATTCACTTCGGAGGGGCTACAGAAAAAAAGAGACTGCAACCAGGCCCATGCAAAAACAAGGATAAATACTCGAAGGGCATTAAATGTAGTCACGCAATGCTGACGTTGTTAACATTAAAGGGCTCATATGATGCGATTTCTTGTTTACCTTTTTCTTTATTGTGTTATGTAGCTGTTAGTGCAAGTATAAGATCTGCATATTTACAAAAACTCAAAGTCTCAAACCCAAAGAGATATTCTTTGCAAAAGTTAAAGGAATAGCGGAGGATCTTTCCGAATTTTAGAGAAGACCCGCCCTCTCCAATTTTTTTAAAAATGCACATGCGCAACACTCAATTTGCTCCCGAGAGGGAACGCCTATTAAACGTGTGCACGAGAGAGCATGCACTCTGGTCTTGTTTCTTTTTTCAGAGGCCTTTCTCTTCTTGTCATACAATTCGTAGACATTTTTTCTCTTGGGACCCTCAGACATTTTGAAAAAACCCGGTGAGAATGGCGAGCTTCAATGAATGGCTGAAACCGTAGCTCACCACACATATACACCTGAAAGTGCGCATGCGCAGAAAGCGAAAACTACCTAGGGAAGAGCACGTACGCCGGCCTTACGTAAACATATCGCCAGAATGATTGACAACCAATGGTCTTGATGATCAACCCGGAAAAAGAAAATCCTCCGCTATACCTTTAAGGCTCAGCCATGCATTCCTAAAACGCTTCATTCAAACACACCCCCACAAATCTACGTCAGTGTGTGTGGGGCAGAGTTTCATAACACCGCCCAAATGTATACGCAAAGAAAGAAGGCGTAACTTTTATTCTCGCTGTATTATTGTTGCCGCTAGAGAGTAGTAAGAGTAGATTGCTTTTGAGCAGTATAGAGTAGCGCTTGCTTGTCGTTTCTACAATCACAAATGTAGACATAGTTTTGTGTTTACAGTGTTCTCACACCCGTAGCGCGGCGCAACGCGTAAAAAGACAGTAAAGTCATATAATCAGTAATTATGTCCCCAATGAAATAAAACCTTACCAATCTGATACGATCTGATTCAGTCGCGCTGGCAAAGTTGATCGATCAGCTTGGACATCTGCATTTTCTGGATCAGAATCGGGCTCGAATCGATAAGGTAGAACCGACATTATCACCTGTCATTATTGCTTTGGGAGCTGATGTTCCAAATATGGTAAGGGGCGTGACATTTCTGTCACTCGCTTAAGGTTTTTGGGCCAATCACAATGGACTGGATCGCTGGCCAATCAGAGCACACCCACACCTCACTTTTCTCAACGATTAGCTTTGTAAAAAAAACAAAAAACTCGACGCATTTCAGAAAGGCGGGGCATAGAGGAGCAAAAATAATGTACAGTATGTGTAAAATAATTACTTTTTTTAACCTAAAATCGCGTAAACATTGCATTAAACCAAATGTAAAACAAAAAAAAACATCATATGACCCCTTTAACAATTTGAGAACAAAGTATAATTTGCACAGTTTGACGTGATATGATAAGCGATCATTAGATTTATTCAGCGCGATTTACTGCAATACTTTTTTTCCCTTAGTTGGTCAGAACAAAAGTGGATGTTACTTACTTCTTCTTTCTTAATTTCTTATGTTGGTCATACTTCCAAAAAGTAGAATCTGTGATTCTGACAGACAGTATCCACACCGGTGCGGTGACTGACAGCCGCACATTCTCCTCAAAACACTGGATTCATCCGCGCTGTGCCGTGCCGAGGCACAACCCACGTAAAGTTGATAATACCGCAAATAACTGCAATTGCAGATTTCGAACAGAGATGGCGACAAAGAGGAAAAACTACGGACTGCAGCTTTAAGATAAAAGTATTCCTGCAGACTGTTTTCCATCTGTATTGATATTGAGATGTTTTTCATTGTTTAACTGGTCCTGCTGTATTCGTATTAGAGTGTATAGTTTAGTAAGTATCTTTACTGAATTACTAATTATGTTGATATGCTTTATAAGTGTTGGTTGATGTGCAATATTTTTATTTCCATTTGTGGATTTATTAGAATTTCTAATTTGTAGGAAATAAAAAGAGTTCTTCTCCCAAGTCAAATGTCTGTCTTAATGCTGTAAATTTAATGAAGGTGTTATCAGGAAACAAATTATGTAAATGAGCAATACCTTTCTCTTTCCATTTAGTATTGTTAAGTGGTGATTGGTTGATAGTGAAATCAGGATTATGCCATATTGAGTTCAATGTATTGATTTGCCACCTGGCAATGAGTGGTTTTGATCATCATATTCTTTAATGGATGGATGGAAGATCAGATATGGTTATTTCTTTACATTCTGCCTGTTCTAACTATAGGCATGGGTTTTGGAAATGGTCACATTTGGTCCATTTGCAAAGATATTGTAGATAAGATGCTAAGTAATAGGGCTGAAAATGTGGTGCTGTTAGACCACCTTGATTGAGCTTTATTTATTTTTTTGAAGTGTTTGTTAACTTGTTTTTAACATTATTTTTTTTTTCAGTAAAATTTTCTTTTTTTTTTTAAACTTAATTATGTAAACCATTTCTTAGTTGGTTGTACAGGAGTCATGGTGAATAGATAAAGGACTTACACATTTTAAATGTTGCAATATAATACTATAATATAGAATATATAATAATATATACCTATAATGGAAAGCGAGTTAGGTCATCTTCTATTGTTTTTTAAAGTGGAATAACATTGAGATTCAATAAGTCAGAGAGGTTTTGGGATATATTTATTCCCAAGTATGTAATAATATTTATTGTGAATGGTGTGTCCTGTTTGCTAGTGTCATGTGGCTTTATATTCAATGGTAAGATTGTTGATTTGGTCCAGTTTAACTGCGCAGTCTTATAGACCGTTTGGGTGTTTGCAAACATCGATGATGTGTTTTGTGGGCGGATCCTAGAAAATGACAGTTCTGCAGTAGGACTCTATGGAAGCCAAGTAATAAAACAATAAATAAATAAATAAATAAAGGTAATTTCGACTATAGATCTCACAATTTTGACTTTTTCTAAGAAGAAATATCAGAATTGCAAGAATTACCTCAAAATTCTGTCTTTTTCCCCTCAGAATTGTGGGTTTATATCCCCCAATTCTGACTTTTTCCCCCACAGAATTATATCAACTCGCAATTGCAAGAAAAAAGTCAGAATTGTGAGATAGGCCTAAAAATGTTATGTTTAAAATAAATGTCACCTATATAAAACGTTATTGGTTTAAATATTATTTCATGCTGTAACTGTAAAGCTATTATGCCCCTATGAACTGAATATGTGAATATCATGTAGATCTATTGTTTACATCAAATCCATACTTTAACAGTAGATAATCATCGCAAGTTTAATCAGTCTAGTTTGTAGCTTGCAATCATAAATGTCTGTGCGTAGATTCACACTGTCTTCACGACATCATTCTATAAATATGAAGACAATCGGTTTTGCATTGCGTTTCTGACATCCAAAGGCACAACAAGAATGTTTTACTCTTATTCCATGGATGTTGCCCATTTTCCTCCACTTGTTTTTCTGACACCACAATATGCAAGAAGTTGCAAATGACATAACTGTAACGTCTGCCTACAAATGATCAATATGGTAGAATATTCGTTGAGGAGTTTAACTCTGCAAGTGATGTTTTAGGATGTTGTACGGCGAGTAATATGTAATATGAGGCATGGACTCAACAAGAAGGTGTCCCGTAGTATCTGACAGCAAGACGTTAGCAGCAGATTCTTCAAGTCCTGTAGGTTGCGAGGTCAGAGCCACCGTAGATCGACTTGCTGGTCCAGCACATCCCACAGATTCTCAATTGAATTGAGATTTGGGGAATTTGAAAGCCAGGGCAACACCTTAAACTCTTCATAATGTTCCTCAAACCATTCCAAAACAATTTGTGCAGTTTGGCAGCGTGCATTATAATGCTGAAAGATGCCATTGAGAGGGAACACCATTGTCCTGAAGGGGTGTCCCTGGTCTGCAACAATGTTTAGGTAGGTTGCATGTGTCAAATGTACGTCCACATGAATGGCCGGACCCAGGGTTTCGCAGCAGAACATTGCCAAGAACATCACACTCCCTCTAGAGGCTTGTCGTCGTCGTCCCACAGTGCATCCTGGTGCCATCACTTCCCCAGGTAAATGACACATACGAACATGCCAGTCCACATGATGTAAAAAAAAAAACGGGACTCATCGGACCAGGCGACCTTCTTCCACTTCTCCACGGTCCAGTTCCATTGCCAGTGTGCCCAATGTAGGTGCTTTCGACGGTGGACAGAGGTCATCATAAGCACTCTGATTGGTCTGTGGCTATGCAGCCCCATACACAGCCGGGTGCGGTGTACTGTGTGTTGTGACACACTCCTACCTTAGCCATCATTAAAAGTGTGTGAAACTTGTGCCACAGTAGACCTTCTGTTGGCTCAGACCAGACGAGAATGCGGTTGTGTGTCCTGAAAATGTGCAGGTGTCAGTTTGGTTATAGAATGGGGTTGTCGCGCTCGTAAAAAAACAAAACGCTGTATGAACACATATATTAAGCAGCGCTGCCATACTAGCCATTAATATCTGCTCTACAGTTTTGTTTTGTGTGAAACATGACAGGGGATTAGGGATGAACATAGACATTGTGTAATCAACGTAATCGATTACATCAACACACCGTTCCAGTCTAAGTTTGCTTACCATCTAATCTACCCAGAAAACAATATGTGGCCTTGATCAACAATATTCGCTTCACCTGTGACTGGTCATAATGTTTTGACTAATCAGTGTATACCGAAGTGAAACATCTTCTTGAACAAGAAAAAATGTTGGATGGGACTCGATTTTGTCCATAGGGGAAGGGGAACTGATTGGATCGGTTTGCTATTGCTGTGATGTCATGTGAGTGACAGGTTGTCCCGCCCTCAACCCGCAAAACACGACATCAGAGAAAAGAAGAGATGTCGTCGCAGGTGGGAGGTGAAGTTTCTTTGATTAAAGATTATGAGAGCACATAAAAAAATATATATATATATATTAAGAATAAATACTGCAATAAGTTCATAAAAAAACAAGAATGGTCCATTTTGATTTCACGGCGACTTTAAACTGCATCCACTCTCTGACATAGAGCTAGAGAGCCTAGTTTTTTGGGGTTTAAATATATGCTATTTATCATAATCAGAAGTCCAGCGTTTTGGCAGTAGGCATTTATATAACTCTTCTAAAGCGTGCTTTTAAACATGCAGCCATTTTTCATGTTCATTTTTATAATATATATAAACTTACCATTGGGAAAGGAGCCTATAGCAGCAGACGGGACCCCTGCATAGATCCCACGAAAACCTCCCGCCTTGTAGAAGCCCTGCTGGCTCTGCAACCTTGTCTTTATGGTGTCCAGAGGGAAGAGAGTGAGATCTACACACATTCCCGCACAGCCGCCTGCCTAAGGGACGGAGAGCATGGATAAAGTTGTATTGCAGTATAATTAGGTACTTTAAACAAATTCTGGTGCAATGTAATTAGTCACTGTAGTACCATATACATATATTTTACCCCATAATAATGCAAATATGCTTATATGCAGTAAAAGGCAAATGACTCAAAGCTTCAAGGAGAAGTGTCAAGTTTGCGCTTAATATAGTTACTAAAACATAAATCAGAGATACAGAACACTTTTCATCTAATTCATTATTCATCTTTATTAACCACATTTTTCATCCACTGTGTTTTTAGGACATTTCTGACAAACAATAAGCAATACCGTGCATATGGATCTGTAACAAAAACAAATGTACCTTTTGTCAGTATTTCAATGCTAGAAAATGCAAACACTATTATTTATTTATTTATTATTACTCTTAAAAAAAAAGAAAAAAAGTGTTTGAAAATAAGTTTTAGTCCAAGTACTGTTTTAGTCCAGGCCAAGTTGAAGCTGTCAGATACAAGAAGAGTTATTAACTGTATTATAATTATTATTATGAAGCGCTATAGTCCAACTAATTCATGATTAGGCTGTAGAAACAAATGGAATAAAGAGTGCCTTATTTTCCTAAAAACCTTTTTATTAAATCCCTAAAAATGTTAAGAAAAATAAAAGCTAAAATTTAAGTAAATAAGGCACAAAAAAACTGCTTGAACTAAGAAAACACAAATACTACATCTGGGCAAGGTTTGTTTACTGTTTTATTTACTTACAAAAAACAGACAATCAACTTTATAATGACTTACATTATCTTCATTACTTTCATTATCTTGTCACTGTTATCATAACCATGATTAAAAAAAATAACTTTCAAAAGGACTAGCCTGAAATGATTCAAAGAAGAAAGCCTCTTAAAAGTGTACATTGACACATCCGCGTAAATACTCTATTACCGTACTAACACTGTACACTGAATTTAATTCACAAGCAGAGTTAATGTCATGAGGAATGATGCCTCTGCTTTTAGCACGTGTAATAGACATGAAATGTGCATTACCACAAGGCAGGCTGCGAACTCTTGTCTGTTCATACTGCACGCGAGGACCTCAGTTTTTAGCAGATGACTTTGTGAAGTGGTTCATTTTCTACACTCTGCAACAACTACTACACGTTCATCAAGGGCGCTGCCATGTTTAAGGCGGGGGTTTTAAATGACGTCACGTGACGACAGCAACATCGCTCTTCATTTTCAGCAGAAAAAAATAATTTCATTATATATTATCTACGTTCTATTGACGTAGAATATATTTTGTTCAATGCATTATCAATAACGTTGAATACAACATTATTATTATAATTTAAATGTATTTTAATTTAAGGTTCCAATTTCACGAGGGAAAAAAACAAGTAGTAAATTGATTTATAGGCTATATATATATATAATAAAACAATACAATGTTTTCTACAGAACAATGCGTTATAACCGGGATGAAGTGAAAATAATTTTTTTTTAATTTGTTCCTATTATATAAGAATCTTCTCAGATTGTTTCAATTTTTCATTTTCAATTCAAATTAGTGTATTTTTAAAAATATAAAAACATTTGAGCTTATCTATGTACAATAATGGAAACGCAAAATGAGTTAAAGTCCAATGTTAAATTACATATATTAACATTATAATTGGTATTAAATGTATTTGTTGGTGATTATTAACAATGATTATTTTTGTACGTAACCTTTCACATTATTATTGATACCCATTTCCTCCACATAAGAACAAATGTTATGGTAAATAAAAGTCATTATTATGACATAAAAAGTAATTATTATTATTTTAAATTAAATTATTATTTTATGTCATAATTATGATTTTATATTTTAATTAAGAATTTATAATTTAATGATGTGGTAAAAATGGGCTTCCATATCTTATATATATATATATATATATATATATATATATATATATATTATTAATGTTTATTACAAACTCTCGTGGAGACAACAGCAAAAAAACAGGCAAGCCATCAACAAAATGCAGATTGACAATGAAAAAATAAATAAAAATAAATAAATGAATAAAATAAGGCATTGTTCTCAAATAAATAATATGTGTTACAGAATCAAAAATATTTCAGCAGCATAACAAATAGCTTCTAAAGTTTGTTTAGAATTTTTTACAAGGTTCAAGGAGGATAAAAACATACGAAATTCATTTTTAAAACAGTTTACATTTAGCAATAGTTTTTTCCATTTATTTTTGTGAAATATTTTATATTTTTATAGTCAATAAAATACAGAACGTGTCTTTAAAAAACACACCCTGATAAACATTCACTGGAGTAAAAAGTGCGACGATCCAGTCCGCTTTTAGGGCGTGTCCTGCGCGATGACGCCACCTGCGTGATGACATCCTGGCTTTCACAGGGTTGTTTTGGAGGAAGTTAAAGCAGATCCCGAAACAGAAAAAGACCCGTCAGGTAACAGGGGGGCCAATAGTGGTTACAGCACCCGTATCGGTATCTCCGATTCAGGATTGGTTCACTCACACTCTAGCCTAAGCGATCCAGTCTTCCGCTGGCGACAGAGGCTGGAGTTATTGTTTGTTTTTTCTCATAAACATCAGGCTTGTGTAAGGACACGGTAGCGATTTAGCTCACAGGCTACACCACAGCGCAGATACAGACTGATATTCGCTAGAACTTCTGTTTTATAAACCAGGTGAGTTATGAAATCAAGATGTATGCTTGTACATGTTAAATCCAGAGACTTATCGTGGATGTGTCAAGAGAGATGGTGTAATTGACATGTGAACTAACTGACGTTAGCAAACGAGCTCATTTGTTATGCTGTTAAAGGACACGGAGATGATCCAATCACCCTTTGTAACATGTATTTTCTGTGTATGCGCTTCATTTCTAGTTCAAATCAGCCATTTGCACGCGATGATGTTGATCTCTATCCAGGCCCTTGAATGATCAGGTGTTTTTAGTTACCCTGACAGGCCTGACAGTCGCGCTGGATTGTGTCGTTTTACTTTTTATTTATGTTAAAAGAAACGCCTCATTTTTATCTCAGATCGTTGTAATGAATTAATATACACGAGAAGACTTTGATATAATGTCACTAATAAAATAACAATCGATCAGAAATGTGTTTTTTACAACGCTGTCTTGCTTTCATCTGAAATCAGCTGATTGCTCAACCAGCAGCGCATTAAACACATTCACTTTCTGCTTGTATGTTTACTACACATAAAAACAGATGTGGACTATTGCGAAACAAGCCATTTTAAATAAAGAACAATTTACTATTAGACTAAAGCCTCCATTACACTATAACCCGAGTGCCTTTATTGTTCAGAAGTATCGTAAACTTATAACCCACTCGTATGTCAGTATGAGAGTATGCACTTGATTATTTGTTGCGATGTGCTGTTGAAATGGATGGCATTCTGCTTATCTGCTATTATTATGCATGCTAAAGGAAAGTGCTCCACCATGTGATCCGACTTTACCGAGTGTCATGGGTTCCAGATTAAATATGGAGTCGTAAAACTGTTTGCAGTCATGAGCTGTCTCCCAAAATCTAGCGAGCTGCCTACTATACAGCGGCTATTTGGAATGTCATACTATATCTGCACTACATACTGTAGTGTGCACAGTATGCATATATTTTCAGAAAAAAAATTTGTATTTAAATCCACACTGTAAAAAAAATGTTTCAACTTAAAAAAGTAAGTGTCCGTGCTACCTTTTTAAAGTGTAAGTTTAGTTAACTTGAAATGTGAAGTTGTACTAAGTTACAACTTGGATATTTGAGTTGACTAAACGTAACATTTTAAGGCATGATAAACACTTACTTTAAGTTAACTTATTATATTTTGGCAAAATGTGCAGTATACAACCAGACCACGCTTAGTCAAATTAGTCCAAATTAGCTGTAGTTCTCGGTTGATGCAGTGTATCTGCAATTTTAAAATGTGGAACAATCTTTGCTATCCCATAAGATTAAGTAAAAAAAATATGGCAGAAAATATGAGTCTGGTGGCACTTTTAAGATCACATTACAATCCTCTATGAACACATTAAAGCTTGAGTCGCCACTGGCTATTCAATTTTATATTTTACTCGCCAGACTGTTTAAATGGAATGCAAGACCAATGCAAATAAGGAAAAAATCTATATAAACTGTAAACATTATTAAAGACAAGTATGCAGTCTGTAATAAAATATGAGCAAAATAAATTATCAAACTGCAAGCAATAGCACAAATGAACACAACAGAATAACAATACAAATGAACTAAAAACTGTTTTTCAGGTAGATCTAACAGTAGTAGGATAAAGATTAGGTACAGAAATTAAATAATCAAATGTAATTAACACTGCATAGTCTTCACTGTATAAATTAAGAATAGATTAATCCTTATTAAAGTTACAAAAGTTATTCAGACAAGAGCAGTGAGTCTTTTGTTGTTTGATTAACATTGAAAACGGACAGCAGCAGGAATATTAGGCTGCTGTCACTTTAAGACATAATGCACGGATTCAGTATACTGATGAAAAGTGTGTTCACGCCATGTTGAGATTACCTTAATTTCAAGGTTTCAACTTGTAAAAAGCGTTCACGTCCTTGTAGAACTCGTAATTACAGCTTGTAACTTGTAACCACCTGACCGCTGCAGATTCATTTAGGAGTTGATAATGTCGTCATAGAAACGCATAATAACCCAGTCCGAGGACGTGAACAGCTCCGAATAGAACATCACGTGTTGTTGTCATCTCGAGCCTACGGTAGTGACTACAGAGCGTGAACGCAACTGTTACATATGCGGTCTTTCTCGACTGTTTACATTCACTTAAGACATTTCTGACCGACAATTCTGCATTTGTGTATGGCTCTCTTTCTCACTCTTTAGTCTTTATGTGTGTGTACGAAGCAACAGAGGGCGGTCTCAGCCGAGCAACGGTGCGTAAAGCTCAGCAGGCAATAAAATTAAATCTGCGCTAAGCTTGTTTTTTGCCTCTAACTGAATCACAGGTGACTGAAATCGTACAATTTACTAACCATTGGCAGTTTTTTGTCGCCTAGCGTGAAACTTGTTCGCATATGCGAGTTATTTACTTGTATTAGCAAATTTTCTGTGAAATGTCATGGTCAGAAGAAAAGGTCCGTTGTCTATAATCTATACAGTGTAGTGACGTATGAAGCACAGCTCACACAGAAGTCACTTTCAAACCAAGCAGCTTTCTCTTGGTCAACACTAGTGTTGTCACGATACCAAAATTATTGTTTCGATACCAATACCAAGTCAAGAATTGCGATTTCGATACTTTTTCGATACTTTTCCTGAAAAGGGAGAAACACTCAAATATCATTGCTGTGCTTTATTTTAAAACTGGGACAACATTCTAATCATATAACACACTAATAAATGAACATATGAACAGCATATAGGCTATATTAACCATTTGAACAAAATATGAAATATGAAAAATATAAAAAATAAATTAGAGCAATGACATTCAAGGTAAAAAAATAAATGAATATAGTAGCATTATCTCAGTTATCATAAGAAACATAAGATTTTATCAATATCAATGCCACTGACGATTCTGCTTATTGATCCGATTCTTTAACGATTCTCTTATCGATTCCTGATAGCACTGTGTGGAAAAAAGTAGTCGGGGGGGGGGGGGGGGGGGGGGGGGTTATACTTACACTTGAGTAAGCAAACTGTAGCCTACTTTTTATGTAATTTATGAAACCTTATTACAAAGTGTTAGCGATTAGTTATACACCGATTCAGACAGATCAGTTGTTTTAACCATTCATTAAAATGAATCGGTTCAAATGAGTCATTAGTTCGCGAATTGGATGTGTCATTATCGGACGTGTGCGCGTTGTGTGATTATCCCGGCGGTTAGGACATCCCACAAGATTTGTGTCATCACAGAAAACATATCATGACTGGATAGTTTTTTTCGTTTATTTAAAGTGTGGTTTGTGTCAGCTGAATGTGCGGAACGCTTTTCAGAGAAGACATGAAGAAGACTCCACATGAAATTTTAGTCACCCGACCTTACCATCGTGTCGATTTATTTTGATTAATGAGAGAGAGAGAGAGAGAGAGAGAGAGAGAGAGAGAGAGAGAGAGAGAGAGAGAGAGAGAGAGAGAGATGAGAGAGAGAGAGAGAGAGAGATGAGAGAGAGAGAGAGAGAGAGAGAGAAGAGAGAGAGAGAGAGAGAGAGAGAGAGAGGAGAGAGAGAGAGAGAGAGAGAGAGAGAGAGAGAGAGAGAGAGAGAGAGAGAGAGAGAGAGAGAGAGAGAGAGAGAGAGAGCTTAGTTTAGAGAGAGCTTAGTTTAGAGACGGTGAAGCCTGTGCGCGCGCGCGCGACCGGGGCTCTCTCTCTCACTGTGCTCGTTCAGTTCACGCGCCCTGTCACACGCGCATGAGGAGAAAAACACAGACGTCCATAGGGAGGCACTGGAAGCGTGCGTTGCACACACCAACATGCAATACTCTCTTACAAATCTGGAACGCGGTCATTCTTAGAAGTATCGATACTAATAAATGTAGGTATCGTGAAGTTTTTAATTTCCGAGTATCGCGATACTTTTGAAGTATCGGTGCACCGTGCAACACTAGTCAACACACGAAATTTGCATTACCTGCTTGGGAAAATTGTTTGCTCTCACACAAAATTCCCGATCACTTAGATTCTTATTGAAATTATTGTATTTCGTCCTCAAAAACTTGCTGAAAAACGGTAAATGTGATCGCGCTGCAAGTTGTTCCATAGTTCATTTGTACTTGTTTAACACATTTTTCCGCAATTGTCGTAAATGCGTCATTGGAACATGAGGGTCAAAGGACAATGCCGACATGACAGATGTACAGTAGTGTGTCCGGGAATGTGTTTCTACTACAGGGTAAAGGTGCGGCCACATTTACCAAATTTTCAAGGGCAAAATGTTTTTGCCGAAGAGATTTTTCCATACAGATTTCACAATGGGTTGACCAACAGAAGGTTGCTTGGTTTGAAAGTGACTTCTGTGTGAGTTGTGCTTCAAACATCGCTGCACTATTTACAACCGACAAGGGACCTTTTTTGCCCATGAAATGGACTGCACATTTTGGGTTAACTAATTATTATGAACTATTTTTAGATTTCTTTAAATTATATATATATATTTTATATATATATATATATTATTTATATATTTATTCTGTGTCAACTCAACCAGAGGTCCCCTGCTGTAAATCCAAATGTAGCTGGGGACCTCTGGTTTGAGTTGACACGGAATTGCCCAAACATATTTTGACAGTCCAATCAAATTAAAAAAAAAAGATTTTTATTTAATATTTTGGCTTTCTTCTTTTATGTATTTCTTTCACCAGAAAAAAAAAACATTTATTGATATATATATATATATATATATATAAAATATTTATAAAACGGATAGTTCTGGTCCTTGATTCTGATTGGTTGAGCCGCGTTCGAAGCCGTTGTAAAAAAACTCAACAAACATACCGGTACACCTGTGACCGCATTACATTAGTATTACTGCGCAACTGCAGTTTGTGATTCTTTGTTTCTGCATGTGTTGTTTGGCAAACTCTTTAAAACTACATTGCTTGGGGGAGAAATTAATGTGTTATAATAACGTTATATTTTTTGTTGCTGATGTTTATTTTATTAATAAAATAAATATTAAAATGAATATTTTTTATGGAGTAACCATTTTATAAAAGAAATATATAAAAAAATAACCTGCAAAATATATCTAGAAAAGCCAAAATATTAAAATCAATTATTTTGATAAAGGGAAACAATAAAGAAGCTTATAGTGATTATAGTTTTAGATTAGATATAGATATAGTTGTCTGTTATAGTGATTTATGTGCTGTTAAGGGAGGATATGTCAGATCTGAGATTACTCCCATTTTAAATTTGCTCCAATCCAGGCTCATCTGCTTGCGTCTGAAATTGAGATAAGCTTTTTGAAACATGAACATGGGATAATCATAGAAAATACATCAGGAATTTTACAATATCCTATTTATTTTCTGGGGTTTTCCTATCTTTCATGTACTACTTTAGTTTATTGGTGATTGCTTCTCTCCCTCGTGCTTATGTTGAAACAATGTGATGTACTACAGTGCATTTTAAGAGACCGTAAGTGTTCCAGGATTGTGACTTTAAGTTATGATGCTTGTGTGGAGGAGCTCTTTAGTTCACTTGTGGATTCGACTGAAGCGTGGTGAGGTTTTTTTTTCTCATAAACCTTTTAGTGTTTTCTACTTCTTGTAGTTCAGCACCACCACATTCATTGTTCAAAGCTCTGCTGGCTTTGGTATTTTTAGTAACTAATTTAAAACAAGACAAATCATAATCAAGATAATCATATTTGTTTTGTTCCTGAGGGTCATTTCATGATTCTTTGCTTATTAGGATCCTGAGGATATTGTCAAATAACATAAGGTAAGCTTTCATGTTAGGAGCTCTTTGAGGGCATAATAATAAATAATATGTTGGCTTTTGACATTCATGCTAATTTTGGTGTAGAAAAAAGCATTTTGCAAGGTTTGAGGGATATGTAGGAAATGGTTACTTATTTATTTTCCATTAGTTTGGATTTGAAGTGGAAAAATTACACCTCACATTTATTAAAGCTGACAAAGTCTGCTGTATTTTATACATATACTATGGTAATACATGACATTCTTTGAAGAACCATATAAATACTATGAAGTATGAATCATTCCTTCCAACACAATCTTATGGCAATTCATGACTATTTTATGTTTTGGCGAATTGTTGGCTAATTCGTACTAGGAGTGTAACAATATATCGAGTCATATCGCAATACAAAAATGCAACAATATGTATCGTGGATGGTGACAATTTGTGTATAGTTCACCCAAAATAAAAAATGACTGTGTGGGAAAGAAATTTAAGTTCATAGAGTTTTAGTATCAGTACTACATTAAACTATATTATAAGGTTGAATATAATTTATGATAATGCAATGGGGGAATATTTGTGTCCCAATAATGCCAAATGTCTTATGTTACCAGTAAAAAGTGGCCTACATTATTTTAAATATGCCTAGTCAGTGACAGTGCATATTCGTCTAAAATAATTCTGTATTTTCAGCTTAAAAATCATGACAATTTTTATTTTGGTGGCACTATTGTCCTGTGCATTGGGTTACCAGCACTAGCCTAAGTCTAAGCCTAGGCTATTCATTTACACCCCCATTGTAATACCAAATTTAGCATTTTAATCAACAGTAAAAAATGTGTTAACCTTTTACCATATGTCTTGGAGTATCGCAATAATATCGTATCGTGAGTTCAGTTTTGTGATATGTATCGAATCGTGAACTTGAGGGTAACTTTACACCCCTAATTTGTACGAATTCATTCATACATATTTGCACGATCTGCTTACGACCTTCATGCTTTTTTTCTAATAATCATGTTTTTGTACAATTTACATTCTACAAATTCACGCAAAATCGCCGCCTCGTAACAGTTACATTTTCCCATGATATCAGGTTAATCATTCTCTTCCATGGATTATACATCAATATATATGACATGGGAAGCCTTGATTCACCAAGATAAGCTGAAAAGTTGTCTTTCAACATCTATCCTTTAAGACCTTTGTGACCATACAGTCGGATGCTGTTTTTCACTAAATGAAGGTCTATTTACATAATCCACCAATTTTGATTTATCTGCCTGATTTTAGCCAAGTTGTTGGAGTATGCTGCTGTTATGTAATATGAAAATGAGCAGTTAAAAGGTACTAATGGGTCTCTACGTTTCAAATGGCCTGATTCAAAGCCGCTTGAACCTATTATACCATGTTAGAGGTTTTACAAAGTGTTTCATGGCTTATTTTCACAGCTTATGTTTAAACTGCACGTTGTATCCCTCCAGTATAGTGGCAGGATAGGTGGGTGTACATTGTCTGGACATAATAGGCTATATTATTGTTTACTTAAAAGCTGATTCTTCTGAGATATTTCTCCATTTAATGTTGGCATCCGGATTCTGTTGCTAGTTTGTACGTTTTTGTACAAGTCTGGAGACTGATTTAGATCAAGAAAGTCAAATGAACTTTTTTCCTTTAGTAGTTTAGTATGATCTTATACAGTAGTAGTACATATCGTTGTTACATTGGTGACCATCAAAGTTCAGGTGATAAGAAAACACAATGCTTGAATAAGAGATGGTCTTGATATACTCAGCCTTTGTCTTTGAAGCCGATAAGATTCTTCACATTTTTTAGATAATTGCTGAAAAGATACATCCAACTTTATTTAACTATGCCATGATTTAAATTATGATGTCAAGGCATGTCAATACACCCAACCCTACTTGTATAATATTAGTCTTTTAGCAGTGACAGTCTACCATACTTTGCATTTTGAATTTTATATTTCTGATGTTACCATTGCGTATACATAATATAGGCTATTGGTATAATTTTGGAGATTTTATTTATTTAATTATTTTTAATATCAGTCAATATTGATACTTGTGCATGCTTTCCTACTATTTTTTTTATTACCTTTGTCATCTAACGCGCCCTTAAAGTTATCCTTAAAAACTCTAATAATTTAATCATTAAAATGGTAATAATTAGTACTACCTGTTAAGTGTAATCTGTAGCAAATCTGAAAATGAATATCCATTTTTCATACTGTACATCAGGACTCGACAATAAGGACGGCCCGGGGCCAGCGTAAACGACGCCCGGGACACGGAACTGTCACTTGCCCGACCGGGCCAGTCCTGCATCGTCACGAAAGTTAACTAATTGCATGTGTTTTTAAGCCAATGCTAATTTAAAGTTCAAGTGCAAGAAGACACATAAGATAACTCCAATTCGGTACTCGCTGTGTGAGAGGTTTTGTGTGTAATAATACACTTCCGAAGCGCGCGCCCATAAAGCCAAGTCTCAGACAGCGAGTGAAAACTGAAATGAATTCACTTTCACGTCATCTCGTGTTTAAGCGGATATTCACGCAAAATTATCTCAAAACGCCCGTATTGGTGAGTATCGTAGTAAACAACATATTATGTTATGTCTTAAGTGAATGTAAACCGAAGAGAAATAAAACGCATGTGTAACAGTAAATTTGATCCGTGCAACGCTTAAAGTGACAGCAGCCTAATAAACCTGCTCGCTGTGTTTTTAATGTTAATCAAACGACAAAAGAAAGAAAAAAATACTCTCTTCTCTTGACTGAATAACTTTAATGGTCAGTTTAACCAGGCCACTGAGAAAATCACTGCTAAACATCTGAAGTGTTTAGCAGTGATCAATGCCCTGTGTTCTCTTTCATGGCCTGGATAAACAACAGTACCTCAGCAGATGGACCCTTATTATTTGAAAGATGGAAAGCGTGTAGTGAACGATGTGTTCAAGCCCCCCTCTTAAAAAGGGAAGTCTGTGTGTTAAATATTTGCCGGTCAACAGTACATGTCATCTCTGAAATTGCGTTTCTCGTGACTGGTAGTTAGAGTGCACATGACCAATTTGAGAGTGCAAGCAGAATCATGGGTTTTGTCATTGAAACAAAAAAGGCTTTTATAGCCCCTTAGAGTGTGTAAGTTCAATCAAATGGGTGATTGTGGTTTTAGCATGTACTGTTGTAGTTGTAGCTTGCTACATACTACAACGCTCCTGCTTAATCTGAGTACAAAGTTTTTGCTTTCACTTCCTTTTTTATTCGTATGAGCCGTGATGTTGAAATCTTTGCTTCATGCTTTATGCTTCCTTCTCCCTCAGCTGTGACACTATGACATCAAGGAAGAAAGTTCTTCTGAAGGTGATCATCCTTGGAGACTCCGGGTGAGTTTCCACATTCAACACGGAAACAAAGTCAGAGCTACTGCCAATTTCATTCAGTTTTAAAGGATAAAATTATAGAGCATTCTGTTAAATAATGGTAGTAGTATAGATTAAAGTTGCCATGAAATCAAATCAAAATAGACCTTTTTTAATGGAATATTGCAGTATTTATTATAAATGATTTACCTGTGCACAACATTATTTCTTCTTTTTTTACATCCATGTGCTCTCGTAATCTTCCATCAAAATAACTTCCCCCCGCTCCCTCTTTCAACGACATCTCTTCTCTGATGATGTTTACTGGCTCGAGGGCGAGAAAACCTGTCAATCACATGACATCACTGTAATGGCAAACCTTGTTCGAGAAGCTGTTTCACTCACAATAGGGAATCAAAAATTATTGCAATCTTCCATTTCATGGCAACTTTAAAGATTCCAAAAGATTTGAACTCAATGCAGTGTAGAAAGAACTTATTTTGTACGTGTATTGCCTGAGTTGTGAAGTTGAAAAGGTGCGGTACCGTTAAAAAGGTGTGGTCCCCCTCCCGCAAAAAAAAAACCCCTGTAAATAGACAAAACATTGTTCTGTTGCAACTTGCTGATTTTGTTGGATGACAAACATAAATCATGATCTGTGAAGTCTGTTTCAACAGAACATATGAGCCAGTTCTTTTAATGACTCAGTCAAACATACTCTGTTTGAAACGGCTCTCTGAATCCGAACAAACATATGACTTATTCAATAAAAGGATGTTTATATGACAAAAAATGAAAAGTTTGGTTTTGGTAAGATTTTTTTTTTTAAATGTTTTTGTTTTATGCTCAATAAGCCTACATTTATTTAATAAAAAAATCCAGTAAATAATTCAAAGAATGTGAAATGTTATTACTTATTTAAATGAGGTGTTCTCTATTTTCATATATTAAAAATATAATTTATTCCTGTGATGCCAAAGATGAATTGTCAGTCTTCAGTGTAACATGATCTTTCAGAAATCATTTTAATATGCTGATTTGATGCTCAAGAAACATTTCTTTTGTGGCATTATTGTAAATTGTAAATTCTTTTTTTATAAATCTAAAAGCAATAATAATCTCACTGTTTTGTACTGTACCTGCTATGCTCAGAATGAGCACATTTGAGTGTTTTTTTTTTTTTTCATTATTATTATTTTCAAATTAAACTAGTTAATTGTAAGATTACTCAAACTGCAAGGCAAGAGTGTGACCAATTGTCATTAAGTGAAAAATGAACCGTGTCCCGGCTCCCACAGAGTCATTCCACAAGAGCGTTTAGATGTTCAGCTCAAAATCGTGGATCGAAAAGTGCAAACAATGCTATAAATACACTCTTATAAAAACATTCAGTTACACCCTACCATTGCACTGTTTGACCTACAATATAAACACATGTTCATGACACACCGGGCATATAAATGTTGTGTCATGTCAACCACCCAAACACAAAACCTCCAAATATTCAATCTTTTATTTCCTCGTAGTCTCTTATGAGCTTTTCAGATGGAAAAGCTTGTGGGTGGGATATAAATTCTCAAGAAAATGGTTTCAGTTTCATAAAGGGAATGTACATTTTGTTATAGCCTAGATTATTACTGTTTATGTAATGTTTTTTGTATGACTCGTAGTTCTGCACAATCACAAATAGTGTTAGTTCTCCTTTCTCCCTGCCAGGTGCTGGTTTAAATGTTCTTTTTCCCAACAGGGTTGGGAAGACATCTCTGATGAACCAGTATGTGAATAAGAAGTTCAGTAATCAGTACAAAGCTACTATAGGAGCAGATTTCCTGACAAAAGAAGTGATGGTTGATGACCGACTTGTCACAATGCAGGTAGAGATGACAGATATTTTTTACTGAAAGCACATGATGCTTTGAAACAAAAATGAAAAGCATTTTTCTTTTCCCCATTCCAATGAGTGTCATCTCATTACTTCAACTAGTTTTACATTTTTGTTTTATCTTCATTTTCAATTTCTTATAAACTCAGAGCAGGCTTTAAAGAAAATAGCTAAAAATGTGATTTCTGTCGTTTACTCACCCTCATGTCATTTTAAACCTGTTTGACTTTCTTTAAATATTTAAAAAAAAATAATAACAAATGTTACTAGCTATGTTTCCATCCACCTATTTTTATTCAAATTTCAGGATATTGCATAAAAAAAAACACTGGGTGGATATGCCAAAATGTGCTCAATTGAGGTGGATAATTATTTTAATTTTTTTTATACAATAAGTAGACATGCGCATAAACTACGATCGAAACTCATTTAACAAATAAATCCCTCTGTGCAAAAGAACTTGTGTGATTTGGCTCAACAGAGGATGTGATTGGATATCTGGACTAACCAGAGGACAACTTTCATTGCACAGCATCTCAAATGTTGGCATGGTCATTCTGAAATGTCAAAGTCTATCATCAGAATGATTTGGTATAATGACCTGCCAGAAATGTCTCGCATGATTGCGTCCCGAAACAGTGGCTTCCCCGATTGCAGCAACCTTTATTACATTATATTCATGTGACATTCCAGTTTTGCACAGGTTAAATTCGCAACTTTGGGTGGAAACACAGCTGTTGTGAGACAGAATAAGAGCTTGACAGAAAATGAACGTTTGTGTGAATATTCTATATGGTTTCTTTCATTCAGATATGGGATACAGCAGGTCAAGAGCGGTTCCAGTCTCTGGGTGTGGCTTTCTACCGCGGTGCTGACTGCTGTGTGCTGGTGTTTGACGTCACTGCCCCCAACACCTTCAAGACACTGGACAGCTGGAGGGACGAGTTTCTGATCCAGGCCAGCCCACGCGACCCAGAGAACTTCCCCTTCGTGGTGCTGGGCAACAAAATTGATCTGGAGAATAGGCAGGTGGGTGCTATGGTGCAGTGATTCCTTTCATGAGGGTTTATTTGCAAGGGGTCCTCTCTATGACATGGATTTTTTTTAGAAAAATTCATATTCATTCTTAGTTTTTAATATTTTAGTTATCTATAGTAATGTACATAATAAAAGATCATGACAACTACTTAAGGTTTACTTTTTAACATATTTGTCTTCATTATTATATCAGGACAGTTGCATCACCCTGATATTTTTGAAAATTAGTTCAATTAAAAACATGCTCATAAATTGTGCATTCATATCATTGTGCGTATGAATTGCATTGTTTGTGTATTTTAGAATAAATTAATAGATCTGTACAAATAATTCATTGACTATTCTAGTGTACGTATAGAAATGGGTACGGAGTATATATCAAGATCATGTCACATTCTAAGAGGCCAAGGGTACTAATTTAGAACCAGCTGCACCCTCTCCATATACATGTAAAGTGTCTTGGAGAGGTTTAAAGTCCCTGAACTTCCAGTGAATGATACTTCAAATAAATTTATAATTCAGTCATGAAGGGTGCAGGCTGATAGATCCTTTACATGCAATCTGCAAGCAATCACATCATTACCACATGGCAGAAGCTGATTGGCCTCTGCTGATCCTGCAGCCAATGAGATTGCTTTCTTAACATCCAAATAGTCTGGTTCAGTGTTTGCTCTGAAAACCTCCACCTCCCCCAGCTCCACCTGCCTAGTTCTAGCTATGGGATTTATGTAAGTCTATTTATGCAGCAGCATCATATCTCACATGCTCACAGCAGCGTGTCTGTGTATCTATTAGCAGTAGCAAGTCCACCAAGACCAAATACATTAACATTGCCATATTCAATAACATGCTAAAACTATTCCGAGAGTTGTCATGATTGAACTTATGATTTGATGAAAACAACTCAAAACCTACAAAAGCTACATAAGACATTTACCAGAAGATAAAATAAACACAATTTATACTGATCATCCAATTCTTCCACAATTTTTCCAAAAAAAGTTTACACCCCCAGCTCTTAATACATTGGCCCTCATTTATCATTCTTGCGTAGAAACGGGCGTATATGTTGGCGTAAGATTATGCTTACACTCCTCTCACCGCCTGATTTATGAAGCTGTGCGTACCTTTGAAATCCAGGTGTACGTAATACCTGCCCTTGATAAATCCCGTGGCTGAAAACGATCGTCATTAGAATAACACGCCCCTATATATTCAAGTCTCCGCTTCCCCCACGCCCTCATTTTACGCCATTTACACACGGAAGACGGCACAGAAGAGAAACTTCTCCGACGTGGAGCCGAAATGATCTATCACAATGCATTATTTTACAGCACGTCTTTTGAAACAATTAGCATTCAATTTCGAATCACGTCACATGTATTGGGGTGTACAATAGTGATGATGATGATGTGATGTGGAGTACCATTCATTCACATTAATAATTGCATGACAATTTGTAATATTCTCATTATTATGATTTTTATTATTAATGACGCTTATTGTTATTTAGAAGAAGAACGTCGTTATTATTATTTGTATTATTATTTAAAAGAAGAATAATGTATTTTTTATTATTTTGTCAGTCTGAATTATTTTTTGGTCATTGAAAGCCTTTCATTACCGAACCCAGTCCGTGCGCACCTGCCGGGCCTAACCATGAAACGTCAGGGTAAAGCGCACAGGCTCGCAACTGAAGGAATACATATGGCTACAAATCAAATGCTTTGGTAAAGTCACACAAATTAAACATTGAAGTCCATGTTGCACAAAAATAAACACTGAAGTTTATAATTACTATGTTGTTGTTGTTGGTCATAATATATAATATCTTTTAGTTTGTCAGTGCGTTTTGTGGTGTTAGGAATTGTTTTTCTGCGCATTTCCGCACTAACTCAAAACTGCATACAACACCTCCTGAGCTGGCGTAGGATTTGAGCGTGCCTTACGCCAACGTCCATATTGATAAATCTCAGTCACCGTGGTTTTGGGTGTACGCTGGAGATTTGGTGTACGCACTTTTGATAAATGAGGGCCATTGTGTTTCCTCCTTATGCATTTTTTGCACAAGTGAATTGTTTCACCTTTTGTAATAGCTGTGTTCTAGTCCCTCAATTATCCCGAGTGTGAAAACATGGAGTTCAAAATCATAGGATTTCTTTTTGAAGGACAATGGGCAGTTTGACTGTTCAGGAGAGCAATGAGTAAAAAATAACATGCAATTTTTATTATCCTTCTTATATTGTATAAACCAAATAACATCTTGCATATTCTACAATGTGTATGTAAACGTATGAGCAGAACTGTAAATGTCTTTACTGTCTCTTTTGATCAAATTAAGGCATCCTTACTGATCCCAAACTCTTGAATTGTAGTGTGCATTAAAGGACCTAAGCGATATTGCCTAGTATCATGGTGGAGATTTTTTAACTCTACTCGCTTTCTCGTTTTGAATATAATCAGTGACCTACAACCTTATTCACAGTCTCAGTACCTCTGTGAAGTCCGCGTTTTGATTTTTCCTTCTTTATTTCACGTTCACCCTCAGGTAACAACCAAGCGGGCGCAAGCTTGGTGTCAGAGTAAGAACAACATCCCGTATTTTGAGACCAGTGCAAAGGAGGCCATCAACGTAGAGCAGGCTTTCCAGACCATCGCACGCAATGCACTCAAACAGGTATATGTGTTGTTGAAATGTGTGTTGCGTTAGGTGTGGAAACCAAGAGATAAAGCCTTGTATTGTATGCAAAGTATGCTTAGGGTTTTACATGTACGCTAGGATATGCTTACAGTGCATGTGACCCAAATCTCATCATCAACATAGTACGCGCACAGTCTGATTTTTCTGACTGCACATATAATGTACTTTCAGCTTACACTGGGCAACAATACCCAGGCCTGTAGTTTCACTGCCGAAAAAGAAACCGATGAGATTGAACAACAACAAACTATCTGAGATGCAGCAACGATAGACGGATAATCAATAACAGATAATAGCAACTCTAGTTTTAATACATTTTATCGGTTCTATAATCGATTTATCGATAACTATCAAGTTTCAATAATCATTTAGTATAGTGACAATAGTGAAGTTCACAACTATAACGATAACGGCTGATGAACAATAGGAAGATTGACAGCCAATCAGAATAAATCAGGCTTTAGAGAGCTTGAGCATTAGCCTGGTTAAAACCAGACCATTCTCAGTTGTAACTGAGTTATGGTCTGGCAAAGCGTCATAGACAAATCATTTCCAGAGGGGCGTCACCAACGGACGTCGCGGATAGACCTAAAACCAATCAGAGCGATGAAGGAGATGACGTACGCAGAGCGGCGAGAAACATCTCCGAGTGTTGTTCTTTGCTCGGTTTTTAACAAAAAGGAAACGTTCAAATCGCTTAAAACAGACGCGATAGCTGATTCGAACGAGTGATGTTCGACGGCGGCATCCATCTTTGTAATGTAGGCCACAAAATCTGCTTCAAAATCCCAGCGCTGTCGTCATCGTGTAAAGCCCGCCCCAACGTTTCTGATTGGTGCCTCGATTTCGACAGATTGGAAATGGGCTTGAATGAGCTCTTTGCCAGACTAACTTTCAGAGCAAATCTAAATTTGCAGGAAGTTGTCTGTGTTTTCCCAGGCTACTTGAGCATTTTAAGTCGGCATGAAATCAAAATTAAACCCTATTTACGTTGTAAGTGCACACTACTAGGCTTGTGGTGAACAGCTCATCCGTGCAGGTTAATTCACGAAGAAAAAATGAGTCAAAGCATGAAATTATACTTCCCCTCTGGAATGGTCTTCCTTCTCTGATGACGTCAGTTTGACGGCTTGGGTAGAACATCCCTTCCAACTCTCTTCTGCAGCGAGCCAGCTGAACGGAACACCTACTTTTCTAGATCCAATCAATTCCCAGCAGAAAAAAACAAGCCACACCCTGTATTTTTTATTCAATCATTCTGATTCACTCAAAAAATACGTCACAACTCTGTGACGTAAAGTCGATCGCAACTTCCTGTTCACGCGGACTTTAAAGGGGCAGATGACTACTGTAATCTGCGCTGATAAACAGAAACTTAACTTCGGTTGCTCTGGACGCAAATATAATTATCGTCCTTTGTGTGAACGGGACTTAAGCGTTCACGTCAAAACAAAGTATACTTTGTGCTTAACTGTACCCCTGTTTTTTTTTTTTTTTTAGGAAACCGAAGTGGAGTTATACAACGAGTTTCCGGAGCCAATTAAACTAGACCGGAACGATAGAGCCAAGCAATCAGCAGAGACTTGTAGCTGCTGAGGACCTCCAGGGGGCGATACGTTTCATGCTCAGCCTCTCTGGCCTTGTCTCTGCCTCACTCCCTCTCCTCTGCCTCACTCTCTCTCTATCGCGTTCTTTTTCACCCCTCCCTCCCCCTCCCCTCCCTCCCTCCCTTTCCTCAATATAATCACTGGCCTTTGTAGACGAGCAGACTTCCTCTCATTCAGTATCCTACACAGTTCGCATTCACAGCCTTAGACACAACACAACACAACACACACACCCACATATGCTCAATCTGACACCCATTTCCGTACGCGGATCCTGACACCTCGCACCGGTTCTGCAGAATCATCACCTCGCCCACATAAAAAGTCTTCTCAACACTTGAATGGCTCTTGAGACTTTTTATATGATCCCACCCCGCAGTGCAATTGAAAAAATGTGTGACGTGAACGCTGAAAGATAGATGGGGGGGGTGTGTATCAGAGCATTAAAGCCGTATGTTGGAACCAAAACTACCCGCCATGTTCTTCATCATTCTGCTCGAAATAAAATGGTGGCCTGGCATAAAGCATGCTACATTTTCCTCTCAAAGTCGTGAACCTGAAAACGCTCTTCAGTTGGCGAGGTCCCGAAGCACTGGAGGTCTAACACTGCCCCCACTGTTACATCTGAGAACTGCAATTAATCCAGTGTACGCCCAATAGCTGTCCTCAAAATGGAAAACGAAAACATGAATTCCCAACCAAGTGATGGGAAATTTAGATATTACATTTAAATTATCTACAATTCATACTATTGACAATTAGTATTTCTCTGTATCTTTTTTAGTTTGTCATCAATCCTCATGTCAGCATGAAAGAATCACCGCGAGTCTGCCATGAACATTTTTTGTTGTTGTTTTTTTCATTTCATATCTTGCCTGAACTCTACCAGTAGCTCAGGATGGTAGAGAGTTTAAGTGCTCAGTATCACTCAGATCTTTTCCTGTCTGTTCATTATTATTGTAATTATTATTATCTTTGTTGCATTATATACAAATAAACACAACTAGACAACATTTGGGGAAAACTGAATTGTTCATGACCATCAATGAAACAAAATGCACAGCATATACATTGTTCAAGATAAATGTATTTCAAAGTAATAATGGAAATAAAATTAAGTTGTTGAATAAATGTGTTGTGCACTGAGTGTTTGTTTTGGAGAAGTGGTATCAACTGGAACTGTTTGAAATGAACAAATGAAATGTGTCCACAAATCAGCTATTAAATGTAAATGTTTATTTCTGTCATGAAAAAAGGAACACATCTACACAATGAATACGTATCTGTCTTAACAGGCATTTTCAATCTTTAAACTAGTCCGCTTTGGTCATTCTGAAGAGATGGGACTTCTACAGTATGTCAATACATTGTAATTCTTTTTTTCAAATTTTGGGTTTCTTGCTGGAACCCGTTCCCAGAAGCCATTGTTGGAGAGACCCGGTCGGCTTGGTCTGCTTCTCTGCTGCAAGTTTTCCTTCAGGTCCTTTAGCTGTAGTCTCTTCATCAGGATTCTTCCTCTTAGTTGGCGAGGCAGTTTTCAGCCAGCTCATCATCATTTTGCTGCTGGCTGTTGGTTGAACGGTCTGGACAGGGCAGAAGGATTTAAATCAATAGGAATATCTATTAAGATATGATACATATAAGCATCTCTATATAGCAGTTTGCATTCCTATGTCAAAAGATTTAGATTTTTCCGTTTAGTGCATCCAATTTTTCACAAATACTGAGATTAATTATTGTGATAACTCATAACTGCAGTGATTTAGAACACAGTATTGTCTCTATCATTCACAGTTAAAGCAATATATAAGGTGTTTTTTTAACTGTACGCACTTTTCCCATTGCTTGATTTTTATTACATCTAACAGATTTCAATTTCATAACGAAGATCAAAACACATCTAACAGATTTCAATTTCATAACGAAGATCATAACTGTGTTTTTATTGTGCCTTCATTTATTTTTGCCACTTTTCAAATATCTCCAATGTATAGACCCAGACTATAAACCTTAAAACTATTTACTGGAGTAATGGCTGCTGAAAATACATTTTAAATTACTGTTAAACTGTTCATTTAAATTGTAATAATATTTCACAAAATTTAAAAAAACAAAGTTGGTGAGCATAAGAGATTAAAAATCCTACAGACCCCAAACTTTTGAATAGGAGAGTATGTTTAAGGGCCCTTTCACACCTACCTTGTTTGGTCCGGACTTTCGGACTTTTTAGTTTGGTCCGAATCAAAATTACAGGTGTGAAACCTACCCCGGACCACGGTCCGGACCAAACAGATGAAATTTGGTCCGACGAAAAGAGGTAGTCTCGGTCCGGATCAAACTGAACAAAGGTTTGGTTCGTTTCTAGTGTGAAAGCATTTCTGTATGGATCGGACTTTCAGACCTTTTACAGGAAGTTCCGGTGGTTCCCGCATAGCCAAAAAAACAGAAGGTGGCAGGAAAAATGAGCTATGGTAGCACATGGGGAGAGGAGGAGACGAGGTTTTTAATTGAAGTATGGTCTGATGACATAATAAGAAGTCAACTTGCAGTCTTCTCCTCCTTTCCTGCCAGCGACGATAAAATGTTCGCACGACGAGGACGTTCATTTGGCGAATTTGAACTAGCCTTGTGTATAGTTGGTGCTGCAGGTAATTACGCCATAAAAATAACAATATAGTATAGTTGCAACGATATGCGTCTGTTCATTCATGTTGTCAAAGTTACCCGCCGAATTGACAACACGCTGACGTCAGACGCACGTCCATTTACAAAATCAATCAATGTCAAGATGCAGCCCACATAGATGATGACGACAGGACGCAAGTATGTCACGTAAAGTTCTTTAGTGCGCTCGCATAATTGCAGTGTGAAACCAAACCAAAACTTTCTGAAAGTATAAAATGTATCAAAACGTGAACTTTGATTCGGACCTTGGTGCGGACGTTCAGGTGTGAAAACGCCCAAGCTCTGATGAGGGAATTGATGATGGTATAAAACATCTGCTCAAACAGAACCCTTCCAAGCTCCAAAAGGTAACAAAATGTGCTTTATTTTATTCTTCTGTAATTGTTACTGTAATATCAGGAGTTGTATAGTATCGTGACAGGTAGAGATCCATCCGTGTCAGATATAGTCCGGGTCGCTAAAGACCCGAATATGTAATAATGATTGGTGAAACATTCATGTATTTAAGGGTTAAATAAACTTGTGAGAAAAGTGTTGTTGTTTTTTTATTCACCTTCTTAATCGTGGGGTCTACAGGCTGCAGACACTCTTGGGAGTTGTTGCGGGAATTGTTGACCAGTGAGGAGACGGGGTGAAAGGTCAGAGAGGACTTTGGCTGAAGTAATTTCATGGCTTCCAGTGATTTCACTTCTCCAAAGTCCAACCACCGTCTTACTTCATCCTCTCCATCCAGCAAAGCCGGCATCCTGTTACAAAGTACATTAAATCAAGATTTATTTGACTCATTACAATAAAGCTTACAACACTGTTTTGATGTCACGTGAAAAGAGTCATCATATTCATGTGCTCAACCTGTCATGGATGCTTTGGAGATTTGGAGAGGCGTCTACAGTAATAACAGTGTAAGTGTACAGCACCTCTCCACCACCAGGAGGAGTCCAGGAGTCAAAGAGCCCTGCTATTGTCAGCAGTCTCCACCCGGTCCAGTCACTGTCATCTTGATCACTCTGTAGACAAGTGGAGGAATAAACAGATGTGTTAGACTGGCATAAGCGAACAAATGATCTTCTTATGACTGTCAAACTTGGGCTAACCTCGCCCTGGTCCAAACTTGGGTCACATTTCGGTTCCTGTGCACTTTGTGGACTGGGCACTTGTCCTCCTTGGCTTTGAGGGAAATATATGAAGAAAGGCTGTTTCTCTTTCTCCAGTCGTCTCCATTCATAGAAGCCGTCAGCTAGAATGACACAACGCTGGCCTTTCAAAAGAGGATCCTGTACAATAAATTTCCAGCAACAAGTCATTTGTCTGTCCACAGCATATTAGAGGATATTTGATGTTTAATAATAGAGTGCAACAGTGCTCTCCCACTTTTTTAGAAGCCTTGTTTCTGGAAGTATTTTTCCCCATACATCGTTCCTATTTTTTCTTACGCTCACCAAGACCGCATTTATTTTATAAAAAATACAGTAAAACAGTAATATTGTGAAATATTATTAAAAAAAAAAACGCACGACGCATTGACGAATGCGGAAGCGCAGAGGATAGAGCAAAACAAAACACCAGTCACGAATTAGAAGTCTAAAACGAGAATTTTTAAAGAGAAATGTCGGAGGAGCTCGAGTGTGTTGCCCAGCCCTGTTTATTTAAACCGCGAGAGGCGTCAAAGCTTACGCTACTCCTACATCCTATGACCTACGTCATACATCGTCAAGTGTTACTCTTTTGGCGTAAGTCGACTTGCGTAGGCCGTCTGCCGGAAGCTAGTTATTTGAGTCTATAAAGTTTTAAATATGGATATTTTTCTTACACTAATGCATCGCTTTGCTTCAGAAGGCCTTTATTAACCCCCGGAGCCGTGTGGATTACTTTTATCATGAATGGATGCACCTTTATGGACTTCAAAACATAAATGGCCATTTACTGCCATTCTATAGCTTGGAAGAGCCAGGACATTTTTTTAATATAACTCTGATTGTATTCGTCTGAAAGAAGAATGTCATACACCTAGGATGGCTTGAGGGTGAGTAAATCATGGGGTAATTTTCATTTTTGGGTGAACTATCCCTTTAACAACATTGTAGCTTACAATAGTTCTGTATTAAATGGTTCATATAAGTTACTGTTAAACAATAAAAATCAGGTATCCTATAGATAAAATCTATTAGATTTTTTCTTTAGGAACATCACTGTTACACTCTATTATGCAGAGTTGAATTTTGGACCAATAACATTTCACTGTGAGCGGGGCTTCACTGCTGATGTAGAATAAATAAGGTTGTCTTATGTACCTTATAAGACTTCTTTCCTAGCAGGCTCTCACTGCGACAGTTAGAGGTGTTGTACTGCATCTTATTGGGGTCATTCTCTTTGAACCATGCCGGGACAAGACCCCAGCGCATCGCTGCCAGCACACACTCATCTACAGGAGCATCCTATGGAAAGTGGTTTATTTAAGAGTTGTTCTTCAGCAACAAAAGTTGTGTGTATATGTTTTGACAAATTGACATGCCTTGTTGAAGTGTCTGTTGGACAGCAGCACAGGACTGAAGGACTGAGGACTCTTGTTGTATGAGGGCCGGTATTTGTCGGTGTCTCCATCTTTCCACCGGGGCCGGTGTCGCTGTCCTGTTCGGTCTCGATACCGAGAGGCGCGACTGATCTCATCCGGCGCAAGAGTGCAAGCCGTTCTCCCGCACATCCTGGGGTTTACCAAACCTGTATGACATCACCACACATTAGATGGTACATTTACTTAATGACTTAAACAAAATAACTGTGGTCTTTGGCATTTCTTAGTTAAAAAGAATACAAACAGTAAATGCAACTCACATACAAAGATGAAACGAGAAACAAATATTTTGTTTGATTATATTTATATATTTAAAAAATCTTTATCCACAAATGTCAATGGGCATCACAGAAAAACATACTTTTTACTCGTTTTAAAGTACCTGATAAAATACTAATTTACAATGCACAACACATATGCTATTAGTTTATCAGAATACTGATATACCCTTATGTTCTTTCTTTTTTTGTTCGTTTATTATTATCTCTTCTCAATGTTTTATTTGATTCATTTAACGTTAGTTGGTTCGTTTCTAAAAACTGTTGCAAAAAGTAATTCACGGTTTCTTTTACGTCATTACGTAAAACGTCAACGCGCGTTTTTCTGACGTCCCAGGGAATCGTCTCTTGTCTTGGTTATGAAAGAAGTTCCTTACTTCTCTTATAAATCTCGGTTACTATTAGCTCACCCAATGATTCAAATCGGGCAAAAATGTTCTCGGTTTAATTATTGAATCGACAACTGCTCGTACATATTTAAAAAAAAGTGGTTCTCATGGTTCAACCATTTTATTTAGAAGATCCGACTCACAAGAACGATTCGTTCGTGAAGCAGTAAAGTTAGCACTAACGGTAGCTGTCAGGCCGTTTAAACTGCAGTAACATCACCGTTACCTCATTTTACTCTAAATATGCGTAGTTTAAATTCTTAAAAGGTTGCACGCCGTTTAATTTTACCTCAAGACTTCACATCAAAGCTTTTTTATAGGTGATTCGGCTAGACTGCTAACGTTAGTTACATTTTAACGGTTTCTGTACACCCAGAGTTTGCCGTCTTTAAACTGGCAAACACGATACAGATGCATTAACACATAATAGACACTACTAACATAAGGTACATTCTCACCAGTCAAGAAGAAGTCCTTATTTTGAGGTAAAGAATGTAAAAGCAGAAAGAGCAACGATGTGGATGTTCACAAGCGTGTAAACCATGGTGTAAACACGAAATAGCGCCCTCTGTCAGAACAACCGGTTATAACACTTCAAATCAATGCTTTGCATAATAATTATTAACACAAAAAATGTTTTTATTTTCAAACACGCATACATGCAACAACAATGTTTAGAAGTAGTTTATAAAATGTCAGATACATACGTCTAAATTCAACATGAACTGAAACAAATGACAACATAATCATGAATTTACAAACGCTGATATTTCCAATTACAATACCTTTATACAAGCTTTATTTCCTTTTACTCATATAAAAACTCAAAAATAACGAGTTCTTTCTCTATCCAATGTAGTAACAAAATACTATCAACACTATGACAACAGCTTTTAAGAGATAGTTCAACCAATTCTGTCATCTTTTACTCACCCTCTTCCACTCACTTCTGTGGAACACGAAATAATATATTTTAAGAATTGTCTCAGTGTTTGTGTCCATACAATGAAAGTCAATTGTCACCAAAACTTTTTGGTTACCAACATTCTTCAAAATATCTTCCTTTATGTTCCAAAGAAGAAAGAAAGTTAAACAGGTTTAGAACGACATGAGGGTGAGTAAATGACGACAGAATGTGATTTTTGGGAGAACTGTCCCTATCACAATATAAAACCATTAATCAGTTGCATTTGGAACTGTACAGAAAGACAAAAAATAAATGGTAAACTCGAGGTGCCATACTTCTGGCAAGTCAGTGGGACTTGAAACCCATAGTGTCAAACACCTGTATTTACAACTAGCCATGTCAGGTCTTATTTTGGATAGAGAGTATTCATAACATATGAACAATTATATTAAATGTCCATCTACGTGTTCTTCAAGTTGTCTGAATGAAGTGTCCATAGCCAACAAACATATGAATTGAAACACATCACATTTTAGCTGCCAGTCATATTTATCCATCTAAGAGTTTGAGAATACTTTCTCTCTCTTTTAAAGCTTTCCACGCCTGATCTTTCTCTTTTTTCGTTGGAGTGCGTTTCTTTTGCCTGGCTGCCATGATGCGACGGAAGGCCTCCATGACCTCGTTATCAGCCACGCGAACCCGCTGTCGAAGCTCCTGTTTTCGCATCTCTTCCCGTGCCAACCTGCATGAACAGGATGAAAAGAGAAATGTGACTTTCTTGAAAATCACATTAAGCCTTGTATTTCACCATGCATATGGGGAAAAAACTACAACACACGATATTTCTAGTTAAAATTCTCTTTGACATCTAAAACATACACAGCTGACTGCTTCAATACAGTTTTCATCTGACTAAAACTATGGAAAAGAAAATCACAACTTGTCACATCAGACTGCTCCCTCTAACTCTTTGAAAGATTACAGGCTTATTTTCATAAGCCAGATTTCATCTTGTGCTGACGGCAGTCTTGATCTGGATCTGAAGCTCTTTGGGTGAGACTCACTTGAGCAGCTCCTGCTTGCGTGAGCGGTTGTGGGCAGTCAGAGCTTTGAGTTCAGCCTGTCTTTTCTGCAGCTCAGCCAGCACCTCGTCTTCAGATTCTCCTCCGACACCTTGCCTCTCATCAGAGTCCAGGAGCCCCTGAGACACCAGCTCCTCTCTTATACGAGCCTCCAGAGAGCGTGTGTGAGGCACACTGGGGAAAACAGAATGAGAAAATATGCTGTGAACTTAAAGCTGCCGTCGGCAACATTTTTTTGATCATATTCAGTGAAATCGACACTATAATCTGACAGAACAACATAAATAAAGTGGTTTTAGAAAAAAAACCGAGCTTCTAACTCCACCTGGAGCGTGTTATTTGTTTTGCAAAAATCCACAGCTCCCGGTTCATCATGTCCAATCAGCGCAGGGGGGTGTGAGATCTGACTGTCAATCACAGATCGGGCACACGCCACCCCTCGCGCACGTTACAATCACATGGCATGCACACGCCTGAAGTTCGCGCAGTAACGAAGAGTGATGGCGGAAAATCAAGTAAGCTCATTTAGAGTATAAATGACGTTAGCAATTGCAATCTATCGGTAGATTAGCCAGGACAGCATACCTCCAAATACTCCATGGTGTTGATGGATGCTGATGAGACGGGCGCGTTCACTGAAAATCTGGTGCACACGCACTGACGAGCATGAACTCGGTGGGAGGGTATCCGTTGATAGTGGGGGAGGGCCATGAGAGTTGTTAACATTCAAAATTTTCCTAAATCCACTCAATCTGCCAGACTTGCCGACTACAGCTTTAATTATTGTGCACGTTATTATTACAAAGAAAACCTTTCATCAAAATGTAATCGCTTTCTCTGCCTCTGAAACAACTTTCAATTTTGGATGATGTCACCCAGGCCATGGAGGCAATTGAATAATCTTATAGCTAAATATCTTGTTATCCCGTTCATGTCCACTTTTCACCATCCGATCAATTCCCAAATCCACAGTTTCCTGTTTTCCTGTCAACGAATGTCCAGTTTCAATGTCAAAGACAATGAACAAATACGACTGTTTGGCTAAGCAACTAACTAATCGATCTTAACTGGCCCTATATAATTATACTGGTTCACCCGCTTGGAAACGTTTCTGTTTGCATAAGACGTGTTCTTGTATTCAAATACCATTCGACAGAGGACAACAAAATGGTTTAGAGTGTCAGAGCGAGAGTCAAGAGGTGTTAAAACAACTGTTCAAAAGTTTCGGGTCGGTTAGCAAAGAGATTCAATTTCATAAAAAGTGACAGTAATAACATTTATTTAAATCTTTTAATGTTATTTTTTGTTTTTACCTGAAGGCTTTACCCTGGCTACGAGGTGACGTACCGGCCCCATCATCCTTCCCTGGAATGTCTGGAATAGGGGAATCCTCCATAGGAGATATGATGTTTTCCTACATGCATGAAAAGGATATGACTGAAACAAACCACTGATATAAACTGAGCTGTAACAAAGCGGACTAAATGTTGCACAATAATATAATGACTTATTTTAGCAAATGATGAGTCACTGACCTCAACAAGCGCTTGTAGAAGCCGCTGAGTGAGAGGGCCAAAGGGACAGCCGTCGTCAGGAGGTTCATGCTGAGTCTCTGATTTCTTCAGTAGGGCGTCTACATCTACACAATCCAGAACAGTAGAGGATTAAAGAAACAGATACAAAAAAAAATCAATGCTGCAAACGGAATCAAGATACATCTTTAATGACACGGTTACCTTTAGCATCCAGTTCAGAAAGAGGACCCATTATGCTTTTTTTCTTGTCATTGGCTCTGGCTCCCTCTCTTTGCTCCTCTAACAGGTCCTCTTGAGCCCAGCGTTGGGAATAATGTTTTCCAAGAGCTGGGATCTGCAAGGAAAACCCCCAGTCAGGGTTCAGAAGTGAACAATCAACACAAAATCCATTTAACAGGCATTTCTCTGAATACAGAAGCAGCTGAAGGGAAGGAAAGGAACGAGAAAGCTGCAATAATGCAGAGCAGGAACTGGATTCTAAAAGATGAGATCTTTACCTTGTAGTACTCAGCTTCATCTTCAGGGGGTTTGAGCAGCTCATCCAGAACTCTGATCTCTTCATTTGTGATGTCTGCACAGTAAGGCTCCACTGAGGCCCAGAATCTGTTTTACACACATAAAAAAACCCTTGGTTGGTACGATTCTTTTAAAAATGATTTTGAAAGAGTCTCTTATGCTCAACAAGGCTAAATGTATTTGAGCAAAAATACAGTACAACAGTAATATTGTGAAATGTTATTATACAATTTAAAATAACTGCTTTCTATTTTAATATATTTTAAAATGTAATTCATTCCTGTGATGGAAAAGCAAACCTTTCAGCATCACATGATCCTTCAGAAATCATTCTAATATGCTGATTTGATGCTCAAGAAACACTTCTTATTATTATCAATGTTAATAACAGTTGTGCTTCTTCTTATTAATAATGTTTATGTCTTTAATATATATATGTATTATATATTTATTACCATTTTTGTTTTGTTTTCAGGGTTCTTTAATAAATAGAAATTAGGGATGCACAATATATCGGCCACCATATCGGTATCGGTCAATATATGTTCATTGTTAATGTTATTGTTACTGGCCCCATAAGAAAATGTGGCCGATATATTAAAGATGACAAATAATAGATTATTTCCTTCAGCTGAGACACTTCAGTTGCGTACTGTTCACCATGATGGTTTTGAATTGCTTGAAATATGATTGAAATCACTTCAAAAAGGAAAATACAGTAAAGTGTGCAGCACAAGTCTGTCATATAGGCTACACACAATTATCATGAGAACATTATAATTGTGTGCTTGGGACATGGCTTTTATTGGTGAGACTTTTGTTTTGTTATCAGGCTTTCAATAATTATAAAAAATTCTGAAGTATACAGTCAAACCAAAAATTATTCAGACACCAGATATAATTTTTGATATTTTTTTACTAGTGGGTGCAGGACATAATAGTGCATTTATGTAAGTGAGGATAGCAAAATTAAGTAAACTGTTACATATTATACCCAAAAATTCTTCATACAGTAAAATTTATAAAAATTTGGGACCAAAAATTAATCAGACGGTTTGACCTGACCAAGTTTTGCTTATGTGTCTTTTCTTTAATTGTTAATGCGAACTTTTTACACCACAGACTGAACAAAATCAAGCATTGCTTGGTAATTGTTCGACCTAAATTGGTATTATCTAATTGTGTACTTATATTTAACAGCTGACAGCTATTTAACCTAATTCATTTGTGAGACAGTCTAACAGATGGATGGCCAAAACCAGAGAAATATTAACTGATTTGATAACTCTGAGTTGTCATATTTTATTACCATTTTCTACACTATAGCGAATAAACTGTGATAATGTGAGAAATGTTGAAGGTGTCTGAATAAATTTTGGTTTGACTGTATTTATTGGCGAATATATCAATTATAAGCTTTCAAATATAAAGAATTATTGGTTATCGATATTGACCAAAATTTCATATTGGTGCATCCCTAATAGAAAGTTCAAATGAACACCATTGATTTGGGAGAGAAATCTTTGAAACAACATAAATGTCTTTACTGTCACTTTTGATCAATTTAATACATCCTTCCTGAATTTGAGTTCAGGCTTTAGCTGGATACTGATAACTTTGAAATCAATAAAGCATGAAATGAGAAAGAATTGATATTTTATTTAATACCTAACGTTTATATTGGCAAAAATCTGATCTGTATCCTAAATCTATCAACAAACCTGTTGGGAGCATCATTTTTAGGATTGCGGGGTATATCTTGGGGGTCCACTTCAAATTCAAAGTCCTGGACCTTGGTCTGTATGTTCTTAGACTTCGGTCTACCAGGCCCAGGTCCGGGACCATGACTTCCTTTTCCATCAAGCTTCTGTTTTTTGGGCTTGGAGTGGCGAGAAGAGGCTGCGAGATCTGGATCCTTCCCTAATTTCAGAAATCTTTTGTCCCCTTTTTTGTCCTGCCAGTCTGTAAGGATCTGTTTCAGAGAAAAAAAAACATAAATAACTTTAGACATGGGGCAGTAGGTGGGAAAAAGACAGATAGAAAAACATTACTTTTCACCTGTCTCTGTTCTTCCAGCGCTCTGAGACGTCGGCTTGCAGAGGATAGGAGTGTTTCCAGCTCAAGCTGAAGCGTGTCTAACTCTTCAATGCCAATGCCGTCATCTTCTGAGCGGCTGAGTACTGCGGTGTAGCGTGGACACACTTTCACATGGTCCACAGGTTTGAAGTCATAGTACTTCAGAGGGGGACAGTCCTTCAGTTCACTCATCTTCTCATTAACAGGAACCTATATCTGAAAAAAAAATATATATATATATATATATATAAATAAAGTCAGGGTTGTGCGAGGTATCCAACAGGGTTTGATTAATTCCTTACTATTAATGAGGAACACAAGACTGTAAATTATTTTTTTATGTTGTAAAGGCATGGTTGCTAGTAAACATTTACAGAGAGATAATGCTAGAGATGGACTGCTGTAGATGTTATTCATAAGGTTTTATCTGTGACAATGCCAATGTTGCATGTATTGCACCCCTGTATTCTCTCTCACACTGTTATGTAATATTGAGCACCATATGAGAGCAGTGTGAGATCATGAGCAGCAACTGTAAGCTAACGGCTATATGCTAATGCAGCTGCATGCTGTTCAAACCACAGAGAGCCAATTGTAACATTTATCAATACATATTCACATTGCATGCAATGAAAAGCTTATAACGAAAATTTAAAATTATGTTAAAAGTCAAACCAGGAGGATAACCTGAATTCGTACAAAGCATTTATTCATAAAATGTAATTGTTTACCTCCGATAAAGGGGCATCCATTACTAACTAAACCATTATCTCAGCACGGGGGAGAACATTCGCCGATTACATTTTATTTAATGTTATGTGTATTACGGGTACTTTGGTAATGATCAACGTGTGTTTAATTAACACGTCAAGATCAGTTTTGTGTACCATCTGTAAAATCATTATTCAAGATCAGATAAATACTCAAACTTGACAGTTAACGTCCACAACATTACAGCGCAGCGTATGGAATGGTACATTCCTTACCGAAGCGCGTCCAAGCAGTATAAATAAAGATTATTTCTTTTTAGGGACTTACGTGCTGTTTCAAACCAGAAAAGAAATAATGTTTATTTCAGCACAGTAATATTTTTAGACAAACGCCTCTTTGGCTGTAATGTATTTGACTTCTCGTGTTATTTGCCATATAAGGAAGAAAAAGCGAATCAAGGTAAGATTGCTACTGGGCTCGACCGTAAGTATAAGAATAGATGTAAAATTCGCATGGGCGTTTTGGTGTTTTTTTTATCATTTTCGATCAATTTCACCGTTTCTTAAAATAGAAAATATAAGAACGTGTATTTGCATGAAAATGCATTTGATCATCCACCATTCACTCGTATACATTCAAATCATGAGCGTATGATAATTGAACTGTTTGCACTTCTAATAGGTACATTACGGAAATGTGAGAACGCAATGGAGGCGTGATTTCTCATCTCTAGGCGTGGCGTGCGGACTTCCGTCTTCCTCCACAGACCTCATATAAAATGGTAAGAGATTTACATTTCTAGAAAGTTGGTTAGATTGTTTTTATTATAGCAATAGCAGTCAAATGACCTAATAAACAGCATATCCGTAAAATAATTGCTAGCGATCACAGCAGTGTTTTTTTGTTGTTCATTTGATCGAGTGATGTTAGTCTGTCTTGGTTAATGCTAGCTGGCTAACGTCAGTGGTTTTGCAGGCAAAGCCTCTTTTTGGCAGAATCAAAACATTTAAATGCACTTTTTGCTCACATTTCACTGTATAGATAAAATATTTAATAAATGACGCGTGTTTTATTTATTCAGACCAACCAATCTTGTTAAGAAGTGATTTTAGGCAGATGAATGACACTTTAGCATCTAAATGATTGACTCGAGGTCAATGGAATGACCCGAGACCAAACCAGCTCTTCCACCCACAGACAATCATATTTCTGTGTTAATAATTCAAATTAGACACCTTTAAAGTCGGTGCGGTTATAAAATGAAGTGTTGCAACTTGCCATGAAATCGAAATGGACAGTTCTTGTTTTTTGAGGAATATTTTAGTATTTGTTAAATGATTTATCCGTGCACATCAATGTTTTTATTTTATTTAATTTTTATTATGTGCCCTCGTAATCTTTAAGCAAAATAACTTCCTCTCCCACTTGCAACGATTTCTCTTCTCTGGTGACGTGTTTACTGGCGCGAGGGCGGGACAACCTGTCAATCACATGATATCAAAGCAATAGCAAACCACAACCATCCAATTTATTTTAATGGACAAAATCAAGTCCTGCCCTACATTTTTTTTTTTCTTGTTTGCTGAGCTGCTCCACTCAGATATAGAAGAAAGTAGAGAAGAAAAGACTCGCAACTTCCTTTTCATGCAGACTTTAATTAAATATTCCATTTTTTATATGTAGACGGCAACATTGCGACCCTACCTGAATGCAGTGCGCGCCACTCTTCAAGCAGCCCTGTGTCTGGAGAACTTCTCCTCTCAGGTGGTGGAGCGACACAACAAGCCTGAGGTGGAGGTTAGGTGAGGAAATCACTCATAAACCCCACGTCCTCCCTCTATATATGATGTGTTTTTAACTGATAAACGTGTACAATGTATGTCTTTCAATACAGGAGCAGCAAAGAGCTTCTGTTGCAGCCGGTGGTCATAAGCCGCAATGACAAGGAGAAGGTCCTGATCGAGGGGTCTATAAACTCAGTGAGAGTCAGCATTGCTGTCAAACAGGTATGAAGATGAACTGCTGAAGACAGATGTAGTGATGTAAGTCTTTTTCTTGCCATCATCTTCTAAAGATATTCATGGTCTTCTTAGGCCGATGAGATTGAGAAGATCCTCTGCCATAAATTTATGAGGTTCATGATGATGCGTGCAGAGAACTTCTTCATCCTGCGGAGGAAACCTGTTGAGGTAAGATCTGTTGTGAATAACAAACAAGGGATGGGGCAATATACAATTTATTAAACCAAACACGCATAACATCCAAGTCTTTTTGATGGAGTCATGTAGGATTTTGGAACAAATGCTGCATAATGTAGCTTCACATCAGGCTAGACATGTGCTGGTATTCGGTAATGCGATAAATCGCTGTAATGAATATGCACGATATTGTTATCGCGGCCACTTCAAAATACCGTGAAAAATAATAGATCCGAATTTAGATTTTTAGAATGCGCATTAGCTTATTTTCCATCAACCGCTTAAAAAAACACTGCGTATATATGCTGCGCAAAACACGTGCGCACTCTGATGTAAACAATCCCCACATGTATAAGCACTGTGTGCATGCGGCGCAGAGCGCACTCTAGTCTAATGTTATCCTCACATGGAGAAGAAGCATGGCGGAAGGAGGAACGCTGCCGACGATTTATCCCCCTTCTAAAAGCAGGGCTGTCAACTCTCACGCATTCAGCTTGAGACTCACGCAATTGACACTTTCCACATGCTCTCACACCACACATCCATTTTCTAACGCAGAGAAAAATCGCAGAGCAAAGAGGACACTGACACCGACAGACTAGACAGAGCAGGTTACTTTTGATATGAAAAAAAATATCAGCTCTCAGGTTCTGTCCATTACGAAATTCAGACAATTTTGGCGCGTGTAAATGTGACGTGACAGATCGCTGTAGAGCCTCAGTTCAAGTAAACCGATCATCCGTTACTTTTTATTTAAAGATAGAGTACAACTTACCAAAAGGTATATGCCTCATATATAATATTGATCAATCAGTGTTTTTCAACCACGGAAAGAGGTCAATAAAGCTGCAGGAGAACAATTATGTCACAGAACGTTACATTTACCTCAGGAAAGCCATTTAATGACCAGCACATTAGTTAACTAGAAAAGAATAGCTATTAAGAGGAGTATTTTGCTAAATATGTGCACTATATTACATATTTATAATATTTTTACTTGTGTCATTACATAATTGTTATTATAATGAAAACCACAATATATTTAATTTCTCTCTGTATGTTTACAGCATTAGCTTATGTGATATATTTTTTCTTGAGAAAAATGAACATAATATACCTAATATTTATCCAAATGAGTCAATATTGAATCAAGATTGAAATCAAATCCAAGAATTGAATTGAAATCCGTGAAAATTGTGTTAAGCAATAATACAAACAGTAGCCTACCAGTCATTGTACCATGTAAACATTGTAACATGTTGTCACTAAACTTAATAAAATTCTGTTTAGTTACCAAATGTTTTGAGAATCACATTTACACATTGTGATGCAAGTTGTTTTTTTTAGATGCCCACAATCCATCCGTTTCTCTTGTGCAATTAAAATATCGTGATAATACCGTATACCGTGATAAAAGCTCAATCAATTAATCGCAGCATGAAAATTTGATACCGGCACATGCCTACATCAGGCTATTTTTGTAAATTATGGAATCATTTTTGAAATGCTAAATAATGTGTTAGTGACGCACGCAAACTGATATTACCATGTTTTCTCATTTCCTCTTTTGTGCATTTCAGGGCTATGACATCAGCTTCCTCATCACCAACTTCCACACAGAACAGATGTATAAACACAAGCTGGTGGACTTTGTCATCCATTTCATGGAGGAGATCGACAAGGAGGTCAGCGAGATGAAGCTGTCGGTCAACGCTCGGGCCCGAATTGTCGCAGAGGAATTCCTCAAGAACGTATGTTTGAGATGCTGCATGTATATCTTTTAACAGACATATTTAGAAGAATAGAAAGTCATTTTTAGATTGACTCTTTATATTTTTTTTTTCTGTTCTAGTTCTGAGGATGCTTGTCTACATTCCTGATTCCCATCAGAGATTGGTGTTGCTTTGGTTCCTGCGGACAAAAACATTCAAAGTTTTTAAAATCTCCTCAGAGCAAAGGGAAAAGAGTTTATTAGTTAGCATCCAAGCAAGAAGATCTACAGGAACAACTGGCCAGTCCTGCAGCACTATATGCAGTCCCCTTTGCCTTCTGTTCAAGGTGCTCCTTGTGCCCATGGATATTAACAATTGTACATTTAGTCAAGAATTTATAGCTCTCGTTTTCTGATGTTAGAAAAAAAAAGAAAACGCACAGTCAAGGCAGGTCCTTAAAAGTATTACCTGTAATTAATATTGATGGGCACAGGAATCTTGTTGTTGGACTGTAGTTTTTTTTTCTTCTTCTGTTGTCTTTTATATACATGTACTCATGTGCTTAATTTTTGTTACAAAGAAAGAAAATAATCAATTTAATGTTAAAGAGATCATGAGGGGGGAAAAATAAAAAGTTGGCACAGCTATAAAACTCAAATAAGATAACTATACAAAAAAAAACTGCGTAAAAACAAACAAAATTTCAATAAAAATATATTGTGCTTTCTGTACCTCTTTGGATTTATTTCTAAATTGCATTCACTTCTTTTTCTTGCTCATTTTTTCAAATTGCACTTTATCGTGTAGTTATTACTCCTCTTGTGATTGTGCGCTCAATCCACTTATATTAATTGATCTTTCTGCAGTTTTTGTTAGTTCTTATTTATCGGCTTTTTTTTTTCTTATACAATGCCATCTGAGACATGTATTGAGCCAAGTTATTACATTGCTAGATCAATTGTGTTACTCGTGCATTCTGTGCTTAAAATTTGATGAGAATCGTAAAGCTAGAATGAGAATGGAAGTGGATATTGATCCTAAAATGCTTAAAAATCAATACAGAAGTCCTTTTGTGACCTATCATTTTGAGCATGATGACTTGAAAAGATTGTTAACAATGGATGTCCAGTCAATTAATTGTAATCTGACTGTGATAAATGTTTGTTATTATGTTAATTGCTCTTGTGAGGACACAATAACAACAC